GTATTTTGTGAAGGTGGATTTTTACTAAAATTTGCCAGAAATTGTCTTCTCATAGATAGTAGTCCTAGATAGATTTATATTCAATGCATATAAACTTACTGCTCGTATTTTTTCTTGTAAAGTGAATACATATTTCCTTTTATAAAGCAATGTATATATTTGGCAAGGGAAAATCCTAATTATCCCATATCAAACCACATCTTATCTTTTTCGATTTTCAAGATATTTACCTGTAAAATGTGCCAGTTTATCAATGTAGGTACACCCCGATTCTTTCTCTTAGCACCGCTATCATGAGAAAATTTTTCATAATAATTATCAAAAAATAGGCTCAACAATCTTATTTTATACCAGGATTTTTGAACATGGAGTGTCAAGGTTAGAGTATGTTTGTTATTGATTGTTAAAATTTATCAAAAAAATTCCATTTTGTAACAGGACAAACAATCGTATATGTATTATCTTTGTATATGCACTTGTTCGATAAGTAAACCACTAATTTTCTTAAAAACAATCTAACCACGGGCAATTATTCAAATTAATAATGAAATACTGATAAAGTTCTATGTCATATCTAAAGTATATTGTTAATAATATTTTTTCTCTATTATTTATGAAGTGAATTCTTTCATTATCAGTTTTTTATGTGATTTGCAATATTCTGTCGTTGATGTATTATTCATTTTTTCCACTCTTTCTATATTTTTTATTTATGAGTGAGCCTACTCTGGAATGGAATGTCTTCTATCTGGTGAGACTTCTTTCTGTATTGAGAAAAGGGGTTAATAATCGTCTTGTTCTTGAGGAGTGTACTGAGAAAGTTCTCATAGAAATCATAGAAATATTTATTGACTAGACCTTATTATAGATATTTTACTAGAAACAGCTATAATCGGGGTTTCATAGTTTTGTTAGCTTGAAAGATCTGGAAATTGCTTCAGATATCTACCAATAAAATCTTATAACAAACTACCAATGGAACTATTTAGGAAGACTTGATTTCAATCAGTATCCTGACTCCTGACAAAATAAAATGGTACATAATTAGGTAGGAAGTACTTTTTTATTCATATGAACTCAAGGGGCAAACCACCTAGGAATTCTTTGCCAAACATGTGGGGAATTTAGAGGAATTTGTAGGAAATTTAGAGGAATTTGTAAGGAATTTGAAGGAACTCATCCAAATTTATGAGAATTTGGAGGAATTTATGGGGAATTTGGGAGAATTTGTGAGGAATTTATGAGGAATTTAAAGGAAATTGTCAAATTTAAAAAATTCAAAAGAATAATGAATACAGTTTTTGTAGGCTGATTTCCAAGATTTTTCATGTTGTTATTTTCCACTGAAAAAAATTGAAATTTTGGGAAAATGAGCTTCTCACCTTCCTCTCTACTTGCAAGAAGTTTCAAAATTTTCCCTTCACTAGTTTTCCACGAAAACTTTGAAATGTGTGAGACTGTATTTTCAACTTATTCAGTTTTTGTAGGTTGATTTCCAAGATTTTTCATGTTGTTATTTTTCACTGAAAAAATTCGGAATTTTGGGAAAATTAGCTTCTCACCTTCCTCTTTACATGCAAAAGCGAGTGCAAAAGGTTTAAAAAATTTCCCTTCTCTAGTTTTCCAGGAAAACTTTGAAACATGTGAGACTGTATTTTCAACTAATTCAGTTTTTGTAGGTTGATTCCCAAGTTTTTTCATGTTGTTATTTTTCACTGGAAAAATTCGAAATTTTGGGAAAATGAGCTTCTCACTTTCCTCTTTACATGCAAAAAGTTTCAAAATTTTCCCTTCCCTAGTTTTCCAAGAAAACTTTGAAATATGTGAGACTGTATTTTCAATTAATTCAGTTATTGAAGGTTGATTTCCAAGATTTTTCATGTTGTTATTTTTCACTGGAAAAATTTAAAACTTTAGGAAAATGAGCTTCTCACCTTCCTCTTTACATGCAAAAAGTTTCAAAATTTTCTCTTCACTAGTTTTCCAGGAAAACTTTGAAACATGTGAGACTGTATTTTCAACTAATTCAGTTTTTGTAGGTTGATTCCCAAGTTTTTTCATGTTGTTATTTTTCACTGGAAAAATTCGAAATTTTGGGAAAATGAGCTTCTCACTTTCCTCTTTACATGCAAAAAGTTTCAAAATTTTCTCTTCACTAGTTTTCCAGGAAAACTTTGAAATATGTGAGACTGTATTTTCAATTAATTCAATTATTGTAGGTTGATTTTCAAGATTCCTCATGTTGTAATTTTTTACTGGAAAAATTTGAAATTCTGGGAAAATGAGCTTCTCACCTTCCTCTTTACATGCAAAAAGTTTCAAAATTTTCCCTTCCCTAGTTTTCCAGGAAAACTTTGAAATATGTGAGACTGTATTTTCAATTAATTCAATTATTGTAGGTTAATTTTCAAGATTCTTCATGTTGTAATTTTTCACTGGAAAAATTTGAAATTTTGGGAAAATGAGCTTCTCACCTTCCTCTTTACATGCAAAAAGTTTCAAAATTTTCCCTTCCCTAGTTTTCCAGGAAAACTTTGAAATATGTGAGACTGTATTTTCAATTAATTCAGTTATTGCAAGTTGATTTCCAAGATTTTTCATGTTGTTATTTTTCACTGGAAAAATTTGAAACTTTGGGAAAATGAGCTTCTCATCTTCCTCTTTACATGCAAAAAGTTTAAAAATTTTCTCTTCACTAGTTTTCCAGGAAAACTTTGAAATATGTGAGACTGCCTTTTCAATTAATTCAGTTACTGTAGGTTGATTTCCAAGATTTTTCATGTTATTTTTCACTGGAAAAATTTGAAACTTTGGGGAAATGAGCTTTTCACCTTTTTCTATACATGCCAAAAGTTTCAAAATTTTCCCTTCTCTAGTTTTCCAGGAAATCTTTGAAAGGACCCCGCAATATTTAAATGGAAATTGGTTACCCGTGATATTTGGATGAAATTTAAATATGTTATTGGGGATGCCGTAAGCAACATTTTTTACCATGGGCACAATCCTGTATATATGACAGGTGAGGCGTGGTTAGCTGTCAAATATTGGAATCTTATATCCAAAAGCAGGGTAAATATGGCAGATTTTGATGAACAAAAAATGTATTCCTTCTAAGTCGACCAAGTTAAGTCGAAAAATGACAACCATTTTGACACCTGTCAAAACCCTGCCAAACGGCAGCACTCATCTTTTCCAGTTTTCAATATTTTATGATGTCATTTGACATTTTTAACTTGTATGTAAATTCTGAATTCAAAAATTGAAAAAAAAAATGACAGAACTGTCAAAACCTGTCATTTGTTTTAGTAGAAAAAAAACACTCTAATCTGGTTCTTTCTCGTTTTAAGGTAGTTTATTGGTGATAAAACATTGAACAAAGTTCACGCACGTCACATTTTGACAGCTGTCAGAATCTGTCAATGGCTTTAATTCAAAAAAGAATCAAATCTAGTTCTTTTCCAATTTAAGTTAGGCTTATTTATGATAACGCATGAAAAAACATTATACGCAGGTTTCAGATTTTGACAGAGATGTCAATTTTCATTTTAAAGTAGTAGTAGTTTTAGTATAAGGGATTTTATTACATTAAAGTCATTATAGTACTCAGTACTATAATGAAATCATTAAAGTACTCAAACATTTTAACACTTATAAATGAAATCCACAATGATGTCATTTTTTTCAAATTTTGAATTCAGAATTTACAAACAAGTTAAAAATGTCAAATGACATCATAAAATATTGAAAACTGGAAAAGATGAGTGCTGCCATTTGGCAGGGTTTTGACGGGTGTCAAAATGGTTGACATTTTTGACAATATTTGACAGGTAACCACGCCTCATCTGTCATATATACTTACAGGATTGTGCCCATGGCAAAAAATGTTGCTTAAGGCATCCCCAATAACATATTTAAATTTCATCCAAATATCACAGGTAACCAATTTCCATTTAAATATTGCAGGGTCCTTTGTGAGACTGTATTTTCAATTAATTCAGTTATTGTAAGTTGATTTCCAAGATTGTCCATGTTGCTGTTTTCCACTGGAAAAATTTGAAATTTTGGGAAAATGAGCTTCTTACCTTCGTCTTTACATGCAAAAAGTTTCAAAATTTTCCCTTCACTAGTTTTCCAGGAAAACTTTGAAATATGTGAGACTGTATTTTCAATTAATTCAGTTATTGTAGGTTGATTTTCAAGATTCCTCATGTTGTAATTTTTTACTGGAAAAATTTGAAATTCTGGGAAAATGAGCTTCTCACCTTCCTCTTTACATGCAAAAAAATTCAAAATTTTCCCTTCTCTAGTTTTCCAGGAAAACTTTGAAATGTGTGAGACTGTATTTTCAACTTATTCAGTTTTTGTAGCTGATTTCCAAGATTTTTCATGTTGCTGTTTTCTACTGGAAAAATTTCCACGGGAAAAATTTGAAATTTTGGGAAAATGAGCTTCTCACCTTCCTCTTTACATGCAAAAAGTTTCAAATTTCTCTCTTTACTAGTTTTTCAGGAAAACTTTGAAATGTGTGAGACTGTATTTTCAACTAATTCAATTTTCGTAGGTTGATTTCCAAGATTTTTCATGTTGCTGTTTTCCACTGGAAAAATTTGAAATTTTGGGAAAATGAGCTTCTCACCTTCCTCTTTACATACAAAAAGTTTCAAAATTTTCTTTTTTTTTTTAGAGGAATTTGTGGGGTATTTGGAGAAATTTGTGGTGTGGTATTTGGAGGAATTTGTGATGGGATATCTGGAAGAAGGAATTTGTAGGAATTTTGAGGAATTATGCGTAAAAAATTCCCCTTTGAGGAATTGTTTGCACCAATTCTGGGATGGTGGTTTCCTTGTATGAACTTTATGGTGATGTGTATAGATACATTTTATTTTGATAGTTTGTTGGTTTCTTTTAATTTGATTTACCTGTTGACGTGTAAAACGACTTGTGATTTATTGATTTATTAATATATACATCACTATTACTAAAAAAATTTTTTGTTACAGATTTAGTTCATTGTACCAATGAGCCCAATGTATCCATTCCACAACTAGCAAATTTACTAATAGAACGTTCACAAAATACAAACTGGGTGGTTGTATATAAGGCCTTAGTGACATGTCACCACATGATGTGTTATGGAAACGAAGTAAGTATTACGAATTTTAATATTTTGGCTATTTTAACCATGACCCTTATAATGTATAGAAAAAATATAAACAACGGGTTTATGTTTTTGCCTCACCAACCATGAAATAACTAGCCACAAAGGTCAACATCCGTTGAAATAAATTTTATTTTTTATTGCTTCAGGCACCTGAGCTTTTTCTCCTAGTAATATCTCTAACAAATTGCAAATTCGCAGTTAATATTAAAGATACCTACTAATCTATATGCAATTTAAAAATAGACTAAATTATGCGTGGAAATAAATATTTTACACATGCAAATATTTTTACAGTCAGAATCTTACCACAGTTTGTTTAATTACTAATTTAGTTTATGTAAACGTTTCAAATTATCTGTTTTCTCTAATGAGCATATTTTAATGCTCTCAAGTTCTATACTTGGATTTAGTAGCTTTTGTTTAATACATTTAGTTATTGTAATAATAATTATTGAAAAATTGTCAGTAAATAATAGATCAATTTACATTTTATTGTAATGATAAAATATCAATTTTTCTTTTCAGAGATTCACACAATTCTTAGCCTCAAGCAACAGTACATTTCAGTTGAGCAATTTCCTAGATAAAAGTGGTCTTCAAGGTAAATTTTTATGCATTTTCAAGTGTTATATCATAGCTCATTCACCTAAACTTCAAATGTATGTCTTTCTCTTCCAATTCATCCATTATCATGTAACATGCCTAAAATACCTTTATGTTTATGCATATAGGGATCTTAAATTCAAAGACTGGTAAGTGTGATAAAAAAACTGTAAAATGCATGACAAATCAGTATGATGGGCTAAATTACTTCAGAGTATTTTTTAAAAAATAATGCTAATTGATTTAAATAAGGCTATTTTAGCTATGCTGTCATACTATTTGAATGGCTATTAATTTTTTTTTTGCATAAAAGTATGGCAACAGTTAATTGTCACTTTTTATTGTAAACTAGAAAGTTTTGATTCATTCAATTTGATGATAATTATTGTTTAAACAAAACACTTATGCTAACAAAATATTTATTTTCGTTTAAAAACCTTGCTAATCGCCTATATTGTTTTCAAGAGTGTGCAGCATTACCTTCTTTTCAAAAAATTGTCCACATAATATTTTATCTATTTTTAGGATACGACATGTCGCCATTCATAAGAAAGTACTCTAGATATTTGAATGAAAAAGCTTTATCATATCGTTCTGTGGCCTTTGACTTTTGCAAAATCAAGAGGGGGTAAGAATTGAATCATTTATATAATTATTTATATATAATTAATACATAATTATTTATATCATCAAGGTTACTTGGATAAAAAATTCAATTATTTGAATAAATTTATTTGGATAAAAAAAAAAATAACAGCAATTGGTATAAATTTTAAGAAGCAAAAAGATCCATAGTGCGTTTCACCTAAATTAAACACCATAATTTGTCTGTCTTGCATAACATTCTGTTTTGTGGCTCGAGTTACTGTAGAGCCCATTTCACCTTGTCAATTCAGCATAATCTCGGCGTCGGCGTGCTCAAAATGTCGTATCGTTTTGACAGAGAAAGAGGTGAAATATAAGTTAATCTGTGACTTCTGTGGTGTTTGGAATTCCGTGGCCTGTTCAAAATTCTCAACCTCAGTGGCTCAGGTGACATAATTGAAAGTCCAGAGTTATGCTTTATGCATGCAATGGCTGTATAAATTCCGTCAAGTCACTTGGAAATGATGTTGGCGGTGGCTTGAGATTGCTTATCAAAGATGTCACTAGTGAGGTGTGTAACACACTCTACAATAAATTTGCAAGTAAGCTCAAGGGTATGAATTCATCCCTTCAAGACAAGCCCACAGCTAACTATGATGATTTTTTAAATTCGAATCTGAATGTTGTTACCAACAGCGTTGGTGAACTCAAAGCCACTCTTTCTTCACTGGAAAAGTCAAACACTGCTGCAGGCGATAATCTTTCGGAAATAAATAATCTGGGTCGATGTGATTCGAGTACCACCGAAAAGCACATCTCTGACTATTTGAAGGATCAGCTTTCCATTCCTGATGTCAAATGTTTGGTATTGGACAAAAATGAAGATGTAGTTTCATTTAAAATTGGGGTTAAAGAATCACTTTTGAACGGCCTGCTGGAATCAAACCTCTGGCCTGTAGGCATTGCTATCAAGGAGTTTCATCCTCGTCGTATGGGGGCAAAATCCTCCACAGCAAATTTTCAGAGGGGACCAGTCACATTAGATTGTGCTACCCAAGGTGCTACCTTTGTGTACCAAACTGTAAGAGGCCTAAACTCTAAAAACTCAAAGATGCTTTCTGTGCTGCTCACGCCGCCGAGTCTTTCTCAGTGATTGCACTTACAGAAACCTGGCTGGACTGTAGTATCTGTGATGCTGAATTTCTTGACTCATGTTACAGTCACACAGTTATTTCGTCGTCTAAATCTTAGTTCTGGTGATTGATATTTTCTTCTGCTTGTTGAATATCTTCATTGCCTTGATGATTTCTTAGACAATCTTCATCTTCACTCTGACTTTCATTGTTTACATTAATTTTTCGTTGAATTTTTCATTGTAGTTTTGGTATTTTTCTTCTATATTTGGATTTTTTGGAAAAAAAAACTACATCACCATGTATTTCTACTTTGTTTCTTAACTGAAAATAAATTCTGTAGCCTTTGACCTCATCGCAGTATCCCACTAGAATACCTATTCTATTGTGAGGTTCTAGCTTTCTCTGTTTTTCCTTAGGAATATGTACAGGGTGATCTATTATAAATGTCACCCCCTGCTAACTTTTCCATTCGACGTTTTTGACAGAAGTGTCAAATACAAAAGTTTTAAGAAATTGTCAAAAGTTTTTAATTAAATCAGTTTTAGGCATACAGGGTGTGTCAGAAAAGTGCAGTAGTGTGAAGTTATATTTTTTTCAAATGGAACACCCTATACAATGTGTTCAAGTTAAGGAGGGCCAGTATGGGGATCTGATGATATGGTGGCTCAAAGACGAAACGTCGGATTACAAATTTGATAATGCCATATTGTAGAGGAGGAAAAGTGGCAATGACGAAGTGCCCTTCATTTTGAAATATCTTTTCAAATAAGGTCAGGAAAAATAAAATCGTTTTGGGCGAATTTCGGGTTTTCCCGGATATCTCCGGTATCAATTGGAATTTTTAAAATAACAGAACGCTATTTTAATGAAAACAAAATTGCGTAACTTTTTCCCAATTTGAGCAACGTCGTATCTCTTACTGTTTCCAAGATCCCCATACTGGCCCTCCTTATCTTGGACACATTGTATATTGTGCGCTCATTTGTTAGTCCCCTTTAACCTGATTTCAATGATATACGGTTTGATATGTTTATCTCTCGGTTTGTCTCCAATAGTTATAAGGAAAAACGCGAAATCCCTTCCTAGGTCTCGCATGTTATTTTATTTTTTTTGATAATAATAAAACATAATTTAGACATCTGGATTTATTATCATATTTCACCTTGTATATTGATGAATAAAACTTGAACAATAAATATACAGGGTGTCCCACTAAGGTCGGCCAGGTACGATATCATGGAAACGATAGACCTTACGTAACTTGAAAATGAATGCAGATATTGAATTGCGGTTTGCGCCAAAATGTAGATATTTTGTTTGCTCTTTAAGCACAGCAATAAAAAATTAATATCATGGCCATTCGGATTTTTCAAGAAAATTAGAAAAAACTAGATCTTGGATAAACAGCGCCCTCTAAAAGACGCGGTGGGAACTATCGACCTTGAACGAAGTGGTGCTCTTAATAACAATGAAATTCTCTTCCAAATAAGCCCAAATTGAATGAGTTTGGATGAGGGGTATGGAAGATACAGCAAATTCTAAAACTATTTTTTCACCAGCTTCCCCCACCCTTATTAGTGAAGATAGGAAAAAAGCCTAATAACCAAACTGGCGCAAAAACTAATGAACTTTTGATTTATGCTGTTAAAACTATCTTGATATAGCGATTTCTTGAGAAAATTTGAATTTTTACTCCTATCATCGTAATTGCGCCCCCTAGCGGTCATCTTAGAAACTTGAAAATAATTTCCATCAATTTCTCTTGGCCGATTTTGCCAAGAAAAAAAAATCCCGAAGCTGTAAGGTCTATGGTTTCCATAATATCTTACCTAGCCGTGGGACACCCAGTATAACTTCACATTGCTGCATTTTTTTGACACACCCTGTATGGCTAAAACTGACTTTGTTAAAAACTTTCGACAATTTCTTGAACCTCTTGTATTTGAAACTTTTGTCAAAAATGTCGAATGAAAAAGTTAGAAGGGGGTGACATTTATAACAGATCACCCTGTTCCGACACTTTTGCACCAAAGTTTCTCCAAATATTTAAGTCAAAAGGACCCCGCACACTTCTAATGGGATTTCTGACCGCGGTCAAATTTAACTAAATTTTAATGTTATAGATCTCACCTTTCTGATCAATAACTTCCATGGACAGTGTTGCCAGGTTGCTTTCATAAAGAGTAACAGGTTCGTCTTAAAAATGGTAATAGATTTTTTTTATGAGAGTTCATGTAACTTTTTTTTTGTGATCATGAATAAATATCTAATATTTGAGATTAACTTTTGACAGTGGTATTTTTCTATGAAAAATAAAACTCGTGACTCGTGAAAAAAAATTATTGAGCATAGCTTAAATTGACATTTTTGCATGTAAGAATGTCATTTTATGCTATAGTTATTGTTAAACCTCCCTTAATATGCTCGGTGCAAACCTTTGAATGTGCAAACCAAGGATGAAACACACCAGTTGTGACGTAGCAGCATGTTATTTCTCTCCTTGACGTAGGCTGTTCAAACAGCTGACGACTTAATTATGACGTTGGAAATGGTAACACACTAATATGGCGGCGATTACCAAAAACGAGGCCGATAAGCACTCCTTAGAGTGTATATTCTCCTTGGATACACACTACTACCACTACAGGGTAGCCTGCCTATCCTGATAAGGCCTGTGTCCTGTGTGGAAAAAGTAATGACGTCATTTTTCAAAAGGTTCAAAACAGAGGGAGAAAAACACTTAGTTATGACGTCGGAAATGGTGACTCATCAATATGGCGGTAATAACCAAAAAGAAGGCTGATAGCAATCCTGTAGGTATGTGTATCATCCTTGGGTGCGAACAACCATAAACTAAAGATATATAATTAGGATAGGCCCTACGATTCTCACGTTAAAACTATAAAAATGAACTTAGAACTTATTTTAGGATATAAAAAATAAATATCTCTTATGATTCGAGCAGAAAATGTATAACAAAACATATAAAAAAAGGTAATAGAATTTTTAAAAAGGTAAAAAGGTGATAAACTCCTCTAAAAAGTAACAGATCTGTTACAATTGTAATAGACTGGCAACACTGTCCATGGACACAACTTAATCCTATGACTAGTTTTTGAGATGTAGTTTAATGTCCAAGAAATGCATACATTTTATATGCATTTACATCTACCTGTCACCTAATAATACCAGAATGGACAGGTATTCTCACGCTCAGGTGACAGGTAGATATAAATGCATATAAAATGTGTGCATTTCTTGGACATTAAACTACCTGTATCTCAAAAACTAGTCATAGGATTAAGTTGTGTCCATGGAAGTTATTGATCAGAAAAGTGAGATCTATAACATATTAAAATTTAGTTAAATTTGACCGCGGTCAGAAATCCCATAAGAAGTTTGCGGGGTCCTTTCTATTAGACAATAGTCCAAAATGTATATGGGCTTATATTTTTAACTGAGCTTTTTCCAACTCGATTTAAAACGAAAGCAGTAGTGTGGATTGCTCCCGCCCACAACATTTTATTCATTAAACTATTATGAAGTATTTCCCTTGCTGAATTGCAACTTAATACATGATGCAATGATTTTTCGTCTAATCTGACTACTAAAACTTCTTGGGCCTTTGCGTCTCTCCGATCCCATTGTTCAGCATTTGTCTGTTTTTATATATTCTCCTGTTATCATAGAATAAAGACTTTTTGCTTCCCAAACAATTTGTGCTTGAAACTTCCAGGTGATCCAGCTTTCGCCAGATAATCTCAATACTTTATTTCCTGCTGTTGAATCCATTTTTAATTAATTTACTCCCTTCGATGCTCCGTAGTAATGTTTAAACTTTACCTTACTTAAACCCCAAAACCTGGTTCTTGCTATTTTTCCAACCCACGCCGAAGTTGTTTTTCTAACCTAAATCTGTATTATTTTTTTTAACATTAATTCACGATATTTCTTATTAAATTTTAACTGGGCCCATAACCTGTAGCGCAATGGATATTGCCAGTAAATAATCCAGACAAAACTGCTTCAAACTTGGTTTTATTGGAATATCAAAAATACATACTTGGAGGTTAAAAATGCTCACTCCTTTCAACAGCCCCAAGCAAACTGTCAACTAGCAATTTGTCAACTGACAATTTTACAATGTGTCAACTTCATGTCGTGTGCTATGTTTCCAGCTCTAACATTCACAAAACAATTTCATTGCTACTAGCAACACTCACCAAATAGTAGACACTTTAAGCAGGTCCTAAATTTCAAACGTATCCGCATCAATCTGCGTATGCGCAGAATAGATACGGTGCTACGGTGGTTTTGTTATATTTCGTTGTCCGCATCGTTATGGGACTAGCCTCGTATCCATATCCGAAAACGTATCTCAACCATTCGACACTATTTAGAGATCTTCCTGTCAGTTATCACTAAAATAACTTCAACAACATAAACACAATACTTATAGATAAAAATAAAACCTACAAACACAGCTACAAAATCAACCCAACACTTTTTGAGGTTATAAAACGTCTCATGCAAGGATACGATCGTTTACGTAATGTATGGCCATGCTTAAAGAGTTTTAAGAGGTCAGCGTAAGTCAATGCGTTTACGGATGCGGATACGGATACGTAGAAACATTTTGGGTTTGCTTATAGTGTCTATTAGACTGATTGAGGGTGATCCAGTTCTTGCTCGGGTGTTGTGACTCGCAGATGTTCTGTTAACATTGTTATAATGCCACCTTTTGCCTTGGGTGGTAGTTTGAGAGTGCATGCAGGTATCTGTCTGTGTGTGTGGGTTTTCAGTACACTCTGTGGCTTAGTTTTCCTCGAGATTTTTTTATGAGTACATCTAAGCCACACAGTTTACCGAAAACTTCCACATACAGACAGGTACCTGAATGCACTCTCAAACCACCATCCAAGACAAAAATATAGAATTATAACAACGTTAACAGAACATGCTCGGAACATTTTCGAGCCGCAACATCTCGAGCAAGAACTGGATCACCTCAAGTCGGCCTTTCTGTCAAATGGATACAATGCATCTGAAATCGACAGGGTTATGCGACCCAAAACGGATACACGACAAAACGTGCATGAACAACCAATGGTGGCTAATGCATACCTGCTTTTCATTTTTCGGCTGACAGACAGGATAGGGAAAGTCTTGAAGAGTACAGAGAAAGTTCAGATTAGCCACGTGATGCAAAGTCCTGCCCCTCCCCCACCACAACCACGCATACATAAATACAACTTGCGGTCAGGAACTCGTCAGTCTGCTACCAGAATCGGACATGAAAGCACCTCTGAAGATGCTAGCCACGCGTACTAACGAAAAGTCAGGAAGAAATTTCAACTTAGGACGGCCATTAAGCCTGAATGAAAACACTTTATCAATAAACCTGGGCCGTGAAAGTCTCACAAACTTTATAATGTGAAAGTTTTCTGGAACTTTGTTCATTGCCAATCCAATCAGGCTAAGGAAATGTTTCTGGAGACAGAAATAGCGTCCAACGATGTTGACATAGTTGATCTTTTTGGTGTGTATTTTTCCTCTGTTTATAACCCCCAAAGAAATTCCAACGCCAGTACTTTTACTGATCGATTTGAGAATGTTTCAAGCATTTTCATAGACCCAATCGATATTGAGAGGGCTTTAAAGCAAGTGGACATCAACAAGTCTGCAGGACCTGATGGTATTCGTAACAAAGTACTAAAATCTTGTTCTAACACTTTGTATCTCCCTCTATTTATTATTTTTAACAAATCTTACCTTACTAACAGAATGCAATAAGTCAAGATCGATGGCTATCTTTCTTTTCTTTTCCATGCCTCCTCTGGGGTACCCCAACCCAAGGCTCTCATTGGGCCCCCTTCTTTTCACCTTATTTATCAATGATTTAGGATTGTTGCTCTCCTCGAGTTTTTTACTTTTCGCTGATGACTTGAAGTTGTATCGTCAGGTGACGTCAGCTCAAGACATACTTATTCTGCAAGACGATCTTAACATTGTTTATAATTGGTGTTAGCTTAATTACATGTTCCTCAACATTGATAAGTGCTGTTGTATGAGATTCAGTAGACTCACCTAGGTTTCCTTTTAGTATTGCTTAGGTGATATTCGCTTGTCTGAAGTTTCTGTCATAAAAGATCTTGGTGTCTATCTAGATACTAGGTTAATATTCACTAAGCATTTTGAAGTGGTAATTGGCAGGACTAATAGAATGTTGGGTTTTATTAAGAGAGCTACTAAGGGACTTTACAAATATACTCCCCATCAAAATTCTTTACAAATCACTGGTCAGATCCGTTTTTGAATTTTCTTGCATAATTTGGTCATCTTACTATCAGATCCACATCAATAGGCTTGAGTGTGTTCAACATAAATTTATCAAGTTTGCTAGGTACAAACTGTCTCTGAGTGGTGTCCTTAGACTTTACTACTCTTGCTCACAGAAGGGAATACTTTGATGTCTGTTTTGCTTTTAATATCCTTAACTATTACATAAAAAGCCACGAATGTCTTGGATGCTTTTGTCTACTCACTCAAAGTTATCGGACATGAGGTAAACGTTTACTGCAAATTCCTTACTGTCGTACTTGGTACCTACTTAAAATTCAGTCCTGTTAATAGAATATCTGACAATGTAAATAAGTTCTATGAGGGACTTGACTTTTTTTGGTTTATCTCAAGATGCGGGCCAAGAGAATTGTTTTAGGTTAGATTTTTAGACTTAAACTTTGTACCGCTTCAGATGTATGTGTTTTTTATATGTTAATAAATAAATAAATAAATAAATAATTGATTAAACATACAAATCTAATGCTTGTGAATTTTATATTATAGAAAAGAAGATGGAATGTTAAGGACGATGAACGCAGACAAACTCCTCAAAACGATTCCAGTTTTACAAAATCAACTCGATGCACTGCTAGAATTTGATTGTACAGCCAACGATTTGACCAACGGCATTATCAATATGTGCTTTATGTTGCTATTCAGAGACCTTATAAGACTGTTTGCCTGTTATAATGACGGCATAATTAACCTATTAGGTAATGTTATGATTTTTCGGTTGGCGACAAACTAAAATGCAAGGTCAATGAAATGTGAAACCTTGTGTAAATAACAGTGGAACATGATAATATATCAATTAGTTATTTTATTGTAATGGTTGTTGATAAAAAAAAAATGTTTAAGTTGATTGTTTGGCATTAGTTATGTGATAAATATTGCTAATGGAAATTTTATTTTAAGAGGAAATACATATAATCAATGTAAATTTTTTAAAAATGCTGGAATTTTTGTTTCAGAAAAATACTTTGATATGAACAAAAAACAATGCAAAGAAGCATTAGACATATACAAAAAGTTCCTGGTTAGAATGGACAGTGTAGCTGAATTTTTAAAAGTAGCAGAGGTAACTAAACAACCACAAAAAAATTACTGTGTCTGTGTAAATATAGCTGTTGTTTGCTTTAGAATGTAGGCATAGATAAAGGAGACATTCCGGACCTAACGAAAGCTCCTAATAGTCTTTTGGATGCTTTGGAACAACACTACAATCACATGGAAGGTAAAAAGACTTCAACGAATTCCAGTAACTCTTCAAAGTAAGACCCTGACATTAGTAAACACAAGAAATTTAAAAAAATTAAACATTTTTTAGTAGTAGTAACCAAAAAAACGTCAAATCGGGAGTAACAGCTCTAAATTCAACTAGTAACGCTTTCGGCTCAATTGCTTCAAGCGGCAGATTAGATTCTGTAAACGGTATCGATGAAAATCTTAAATTGAAAGTGTTAGCTGAAGAAGAAGCTGCCATGAGCCAATTTAAAGTAAAGCAGAAAATATTAATGTAGTTTTAACCAATTAATTAGAATTGTTTTCAGTCTAAAGTACCATCTTCTGGCGCGATAGTCAATAATCCGTTCCTCAGCAATAATTCTTCCCCTTCAAATCAATCAACTCCCACTGTAGATATGTTTGCAGCTGAAGCTTCCCCTGCTCAAGTGAAGGCTTCAGACGATTTGCTGCAACTGTCAAATCCTTTTGTGGATTTCAACCAAGTTCACAATGCATTTTCGATGCAACATCAACAGACCAGTGCTTGGGTAGTCAATGGAAATGGTACGTTGTAGTAGGATTTTATATTTGACAATATTTTAAAAAAAATTGTATTTAGGATACAATGTGCAGCCTGTAATGAGCACTCCTGTTGCATCCAATGGGGGATTTGTAAATGAAAATAGTTTTGCTTCAGTGTTTGGCCAAACAGAAACGCAAAGTAAGATATTTTCACTCGAATAAGCGCATGACTTAGAAGTGCACAGCGTTCATACAATCTGTCGCACATCTGCTAATATTTCATCGTGGGGTTTTACTAACTTATTAACTACACATTTTTTCTTCTCCAAGCTGCCGAAGTACCTCTCCCATCCCCGTCCTACAATCCCTTTTTAAATGAAGACACTGAACCTCCTCTCCTAGATCTGGATTCTCACATGTCACATGGAGAAAAACAATTTCAAAGTGTGATTGATTTTTTTCAAGAGAATTGCGATCTCACTAAGACTGATGATATTAGAGATAGCATGGATACTGCTGATGGACAAGGCTAGTTTGACTGACTTGGACTAGAGTAATAATTTGAGAGCAATAATTTTTTTTTGTAGAAGATTTATACAAGTTGTATTTTCACTATGTTGTTTATAAAACGATATTTTTTGAAGGACAGTCTTACATGCCCTTGCAAACTTGCTTGAAAAGTCAAACTTACATATAATCTGAATTACTTGTACAATAATTAGTCAACATCTGCGGTATTTCATCATGCTAGTTTGCACCAAGTTGTTCTTCTAATTTTTGGTTCCAATAGATGAATCGAGTGGCTTTTGGGTTGACTTTTCCAAAAGAAGTGACACATCCAAACATAAATGACAGCATCAATACCGCAGTAACATTCAGAGAATCTTTGATAGTGGAGACATTTCAAAAAGTGCTCCAGAATACTATAGCTTGTTCTTATTTGATTGAAGACTAACCCCATTGCAAGGTGTAACATCAACACCTGACGAAATTTAAGTGGTCCGAATATAACCAGGGTTGTGGTTTCGCGGTCCGAAAGTAATCAAATCACTCTGGTGCCTGGAAAAGTGGTTATTTTTGGACCTCGGTTTCCTGAAATCTGGTTAACCAAATGTCAAAAGAGTTACCGGCCATCGGATGTCGGTTCTGTTGGTTTTATCTATAATTTCTGTCAATTATTTTTTATTTCCTATTTGCGTTCCCTAAGTAACCGGAATTTTCAGTAACCATCTGTCAACCGATTCGGTTACTCTGGTTAACATTTGGTTATATTCGGACCATAGCCTATATGCAAAAAAACTACTAAACTAATACAAAAGCCGCTACATTTTTGAATTGATTTTGGACTTTCTGAACTTGCCAACAAGTTTCAGTAAATGAATCGACTTTTGCTGGAACAAGCCGTCCCTGGTGAAAATGGGGCTTGTCTAATTTAAATAAGTTCAAAAATTAGAAGAGGCAAATAGGACATGTAAGAGCTGTGCCGTATATTAATTGAGAGGCAATAAGTGCAATGGATTACCGTAGTACAAAAAGGTCTTCTCGAAATCCTTCATAGATTATTCAAGTTACCACAAAGTGTTCATAATTGATTATCCCTATCCTTGTCTTCCTTTTGCAGCTAATATTAACCAATACTAACAGGTGATTTTAAATTTCGATATAAATAAATTAGGCCAGGCTGGAATTCTGTAACGAATAGACATATTTTCGTGTCTCCATTGATGTCCCCTCCCTATTGATTTCCCCTCCCTATTGATTTCGAAAAGCGAGAAGAAGACAGCAAGTGCCATAGCAATAGGGATAATGATCTCTATCCGTTACAAAATTCCGCCTGTGGGAATGTGAAGTAAGCTTAAATTAAATGATTTTTTTCTCTTAACATGCTTCTTCTATTGCAATTCATTTGTGTTGTACTTCAATCATTGCATGTTTGCCTTCACTTTGCTTTAGAAATAGTACACTTCATAGAATGTCACGCAATTATTATAAGTCAATTTTTCTCAAAGCGTCGGGCACTTTTGACCATCTAGGCGGCGTTCTTCAACCAATCAACACGACTGGCCAAGTAACGAATGGTAGTTTACTTAATAACAACGCAAATACGAATGGTAATCAGCAGACGGCCAATAGCAATAATGGTGGATTGTTGACAGGAGATTTGGATTCCAGTTTGCAATCTCTCGCTCAAAATTTAACTATTAACGATAGGAAACAAACGATAAAGTAAGATTTGTCCCTAAAATTTCATCATTTGATCCAAATTTTAAAGTTTGTTTTTGATGTTGCTGTTGCGTTGTAAATGATTTTAAGAAAGTACAAAGCTCAATAAAATTAAATTTAATACTATTCCAGAGGCGTGCAATGGAATTCACCTAAAAACAGCTCAAAACCGAGTTGGACGCCCCAACCCATGCCCGCGACAACTGGTGTTGGTTACAAACCCATGAACCAACAAATCAATAACGTTCCATTTAGTGCGGCCTTCAATCCTACTTCTCCAACGGCCATGATGCCGCCTATGGTCGGTCAGCCTATTTATCCTAATATAACACAAATGGTAAGAAACGTTATTGTTAAAAATTTTAGCTGTGAAATCTTTTCTGTGTCAGATTGGATTACCTACTAAGTGAGAGAGCAGGTCATAATTACTTGGATAAGAATCTTACCCTACTCAGCAGGCTTGTTTTATGAGAAAAATATTTAGAAAAGAAATTTCTATTGGAAATATTGAATGAGTACCTTTTTATTTTTTCAGGTTTGTGTAATGTATTTTTAATTTGGCAACACTCATTTGAGGTTTGGGTTAGTTTGGAATATGTAGTTCTTTTCGTCTAAAATATCAACATACAAAAACTAGCACTTAGTATAAGGGCGGGTTAGCTTGGATTAGCTCTTCTCGTCTAAAATACCAACATACGAAGACTAGCATTCATTGCAAAGTTACGGGTTAGTTTGGATTAAATCTTTTCGTCGAAAATACCAACATATAGAGACAAGCACTCATTACGATACATTTGGCAACGGTGTCTCGAGCTCGCCGTATTCCTACGACTAGACTCTCGTAATGCTACCAATCAATGTGTATCTCAAAAATATTAAGTGTTCCTGGGGTGATTGCAGCAGTTTGAAGCAGGGCTATAGCAACGCAAGCAGGAACATTTTGGAGCGCTCCTGCTTCCAATGTGTTGCCAAGCCAAGGGTGAAGTTTCCACCCATAATGAAAATTCCTATATTTCGAAAATATGTTATAAGTGTTGCTGGGGTGTGATTTAAAGCAGGATGAGGCAGGACCATAGCAACACAAGCAGGAACATGTTTCAGCGATCCTGGGCTGGGACTCTGTAACGAATAGAGATATTTTCTCTATCTCTATTGACGTCTCCTCTCTATTGATTTTGACAAGACAGAAAAAGACAGCAAGTGCCATAGCGACAGGGATAAAGATCTCTATCCGTTACAGTGTTCCAGCCCTGCTTCCTGTGTGTTGTCAAGGGTGAGGTTAGCAACCAAAATGGAAATCGATATATTTTGGAAAACGGTGGGTGTTGCTGGGTAGCGGTTTGAAGCAGGATAAAGTAGTAATATAGCAACACAAGCAGACATGTATTCTAAAGATCCTGCTTCCAATGTGTTGCTAACCTCCCCGACGTGTTTTGTTCAACTACAAGAAACCAAATTGCAAAAATATAATTAAGGCTGTAGAAAATTAATTTGACGCTTTCAAATATATTTTTGCAATTGTTTCATTCTACAGGGTGTCTCAAAACGACCCAACTATTTTGAATAAAAATTTTCATCTAGAGACAAAAAAATAAATTTTTACTTCTTGAAAATGACATTTGATAAATGTCGCCCATTCCGTTTGCGGCATTCCCTAAAGTTTTAACGGAAACTTCTGAAAACGTTCACAAGAAATTGTCTGGAAATTTGCCTCATTTTTTCTCCAATGTTCTTTTTTAAATCTGCCAAGTTTCTTGGGTTATTCTCGTAAACAATAGACTTACGATAACCCCACAAGAAAAAATTAGGTGGAGTTAGATTAGGGCTCCGAGGCGGTCATTCGATGTCACCCCTTCTCATCCGTTTTCGAAAAATGCTCGCAAGCAAAACGCGCGTTGCTTTCCTGTAAAAGGCATGACGACCATATGACGACATGACAACTACTAAAAATTAAAAATTTAAAGACCTACCTAAACAGCGATCCTGTTTTCAATCCACTCCTACCCTTTATTTGAGACACCCTGTATTTTAGTGAAAACACTTTTTTGAAGTTAATTGGATGTATTATTACAAGGAATCGTCAAGTTTAAACTTTGCCAGTGAAAAATAAATGCTACTAAACCTAAAATACAGCCGCGCCACCGCGCTCTACCATCGCCGGTGCTGCCATTGAGGCATTCCAATGAAAGCTCACCAGTGGCGTAACATACCGCCCCCTTGGAAGTACCAACTTACTTTCAAGCAAAACCAATAACAACATCAAAATAAAATACTTATTAAAGAAAATAGTGAGCTTACATTCTCATGCGACTTGTTAGTTGAATAAAACTAAAATCAAACAAAAGTATTAATTCCATAATTCCTTAGCCTAACAACAAATTCTCCATTAATAACATAAGTAAATCGATTGGCAGGACGCACAATTTTGCCACTGCTCTTTTGAAATTACCACGTTGTGTCTTTACAAGCATGACCCGCACTACACCATCTGCTTCAAGGTACAACTTCTCAACTCGTCCCAGTGCCCACTTTAACGGCGGCAAATTTAACGCTGAGTCATCCACTTTAACATCAACTCCAGAAGGGGTCTGTCACTTCGATCGCTGATTTAAATCGCTCAAACACTCTTTATGACATCTGTCCCAAAAAGTTTGAACTAGCTGCTTCATATACTGGTATCTATTGTCTGTTACACTTGACCTGATTGTTATATCTGAAATTACTTCCAGATGCATTGCTCGAATAACACAATAAATAAATAGGCACAAATACGCCTTCAAAATTTGCTTTGGAGTAATTTCGAAGATTTCATGCTAAATGGCTCTGCGTAATAAACCCCACAGTAATAAAATGGTTTTAAAGGTGGTACTCTTTGCTCTGGCAATTCACCCATTAAAGTGTTTAAATAACGAGGCTTTGCTCGAAAACATTTTACACATCCTAGTAACACCTTTTTAATAGCCCTTATACCTCCCAAAACCCAAAATCTATTTCTAATGGTCGTCAACAAGTTTTGAGGTCCCATGTGAAGGTTCTTTCTATGTTCATAAGTTAAAATCAAGTTGGTTAAAAAACTATTATTATTTAAAATGATTGGACATTTTTGGTCATATGAAATCAAAGCTTTATTTATTAGTCCCCTTAATCTCAAAACATCATCTTTATCTAGAATGGATTTAGGGCAATAAGTTTACTTGACTTGGAAATAGGTGTTCTCGATTTTAATGCCCTTATTTCATCAGAAATGTCTGAGAATTGTGATATCCTCGTGAGGGTTATCAAAGAAGCGTTCAACTCTTTTACTGTTAAATTACCCAATACTCTCATATCTTTATTTAATCTTGTATTCTTACCAAATCTTAGAACATAAGCAATAACTTTTTTTAATTTCAAAAAGCTTGAAAATTTTAACAATACATCCAAATCAATTTTAGTAGAAAACAATTTAAGCTTCACATTTCGTCAGTTTGAGACATTTTGGGTCAGGATCAGAAATAATAACTTTAGTTTTGGGCCATTGATCTTCACTTAATTACAACCACTTAGGTCCAAACCACCAAGACTGCGACTGCTTTAATTGACTGGTACTGCATCCTGTTGATATAAGGTTTGATGGATTCTCTTCCCCTGTCACGTGATTCCAATTATTATTAATCAAACTGTTTTTGTGAATTTCGGCAAAGCGATGTGCCATGAACACACTCCAATTACCAGGCTCGGATGCTAACCATGAAAGTACTATACTAGAATCGGTCCAGCAGTGGATTCGATCAATATGTATCTTTAATGCCCTGGTAGTTCTACTAGCCAATCTAGATAATAAGACAGACAGCTCTAGCCTGGGCAAGGTTAGGGTTTTTATGGGAGCTACCTTGGACTTGGCACACAGAATATTAGTACTTATACTTCCATCTGCCTCGATCGAGCGCAGATATAAGCACGCCCCATGCGCCCTTTCAGATGAATCACAATATCCATAGATTTCTATTTTTATCGGATTAATACTCAAGGCATGCCTTTTAATGCTCAAGTTGTTTAAATTTGGCAAATAATTATGAAATAGCCTCCAAAGTTCATGAAGCTTAGAGGATACTTCCTCATCCCAACTTACTCCGTTTTTCCATAATCGCTGCATTATTAACTTTGCTAACATCACTACTGGCCCCAGCAGTCCCAAGGGGTCAAAAATTTTAGAAAGAGCTGCCAATTCAGTTCTTTTTGTTGATCGGAGGTGGCTATCTATATGAATAGTATACTGCAAATTATCTTCCTTTACTTTCCAAATAAGTCCTAAAGTCTCGGTAATGTCTTTGTCAACAATGTATTATTCTATATTATTTTCGTCTTCATACATATATTGAAACGTCTCTGTCGTTTCAAACCCATTTTCTCAAACAAAATCCTGATTTTTTTCAAAACTTCTGTAATATCCTTTTTCATTTTCTTTACTTCTTCTATCGTTGAGGCTCCAGTCAACAGATCATCCACGTAAAAATTGTTTTTGATCTCAAAACTTGCTTCAGGAAACATATTTTCACATTCTTCAGCTGCCTTATGCAATCATCTAATTGCCAAGAAAGAAGCTGACGATGTGCCGTAAGTGTTCATTCTATAATGCTTCGGTTCTTCCTCCAGAGTATTCTTAGCAAATCTGTTTGCTGATGCTGGATCCACACCTGCTTGTACATTTTTTCGACGTCAGCACAATTTGGTAGTTGTGCTATCACATTTCCTTACCCCATGATGGGGCATATAATAAACTGTATTGTTGGTGATAATTTCCGTGCTTGGTAGTTCAGTCATGTGACCTAGTTCATTATATTCCGTCATGAATTTTGAATATTCCATTCGAAGACTTTCATCTTGCTTTAATTTTTAAAAAACTTCCTTTCAGCAGCCATTCTTGAATCTCGGAGGTCCTCTATTCTTTCTTTTGTCGGCAATTGCATGATAAATTTTCCATCATGGGCATGTTCAGTTGTTGCCATGAACAGTTTCTCATATTTTCCCTTTCCTCTTTTTCCAAGAAAACTGTTGGCTTCACCCCATCAATATTCCAAAACTTCTCTATCAAGACTCTGATTAACTGAAAAATTGCACATCGTTTGACAATGGCTTAACTGTTTGTCATTATTATAATTGTATTTACTGCAGGGAACATTTCCTGATACAACCCACCCAAAACAGGTTTTTCACAAAATGAGCATATTGTCAGCAGTTTTTATTTGCCCATACTGTAAAAGTTCATAGAATACATCTGCCCCTAACAACAGGTCTATTTTTGATGCTTAATTGAAAGCAGAATCTGCCAAAACTATAGATATTTGAGGGAATTTTTAGATTTTTTATGTCTACTGGCAACACTGGCGAAGTATTAGTTTTTATTAGAACATTGTTTAACACGACACAATTTAAATCAATAGAAAATTGGTACCTATTGATCCCTACGACTGACATATTCACGTTACTGACATCTGTGTTACTGACACTCACTGACACTAATGTTTAATAATGACACTATCATAGAGAGTGATTTATAAATTCTTAAATAGAACATTCACTGGATTCATCCCCTCCACTTTTTGTTTTAGTTCGACTACACCCCTCGTTTTTGTTCTAATCTGTGACTCCACCAATGAGTTTGCTATCTTTGTTTATTGAATAGAAAATGACAATGACCGACATAGAATGATGGATATAAAAACCAGTCAAAACGCAGGGCTCCATTTAACATCATAATGTATATGTCATCTGAATTAATTTTTTGAGTGCATTGTCGTTGAGTATTGAGTTTGTTGTTTTAATTGTAAGTTTGTGGAAGAAGTGATAAAAGCATCACAAGTAGTCGGTTTAAGTATTGTTGCGCAGTGTGTGACCAGGCGGCAAAAAATAAATCAGCCATAAGCGAATTGCAGCGACAGACCAGGGAAATCTACATCAAAAACAACACAGAAACCAAAATTTTGGTTTTGTTTGAGATAAACAACCTAGAAATCGTGCCACTGTATGATGCTCCACACATCCTCAGGGGAATAAGAAATAACTTGATCAAATATGACGGCCATTTGAATGGAAAAATTGACATTTTCAAAAAGCAGATTGGAAAGATCATCTAGATTATGGACTATTTCATTAATTTAGTGATTCTCACATAAATATATGAAAATAAAATGAATAAAATTTTAGTTTATGAAGTTTTGAAGTACTGCCTTATTTTGAAATAATTGAAATAACAAACCAGTCATTTAAAACCGAGATTCAAACGACCCGCCAAATATTAGTTCAATGACTACACCGCTATGACAGTACCGTCGAAAATTTCACTTGGCGACTCAACAGAAGTGAGCGTTCTATATCAAGAATATAAATCACTTTTCTATGGACACTATTTCACTCGTCACAAAATTAGACGAGAGCCTGAGTCCAACAATGCTCTTACCTCATGTGTGTGGGCCTCACTATCAAGCACTACCACTTTAGCTGTTGATAGTAAAACCTCACCTTTATTTTCACCTGCATGAGTACCTACTTGCCATAACATTAACCGAATTGAACTTGAACTTGCTACCAATTTGTCTGCATTATTATTGACTGATAAAACGGAATTATTTTTTGAATTATTGGAAATATTATTTTCTTGCTCTTTCAAGAAATTTATATGCAGAAGAGTATTGTAAGGTTTACCGCATTTCCAGCACCCCCTGTATGAGCATCTTGTACTTATATGGTTATGTTTAAAACAATTGAGACACAAATGTAGTTTTTTGACTTAACTCTTTGCTGCTCGTTAAAATTTAATAATTTTAAGCAATGATATAAGGGATGTTACTGACCTAACACATTACACATAAATCCTCTTGCGGTCTGACATTATTGCCTTCATCTACTTCTATTGACAGAAAATTTTGAGATTTTAAATCTACCAATCAGAAACGCAATTAGACAAATAACTCAAAATAATCGACTGCAGTGCACTTTTCATTTTTTTTTTGTACCTGGCAGCACAATTACTAATTTTGACCAACCCTGTATAATGTAGAACAAATTTTCTTGCCCAAAAGTAATATGCAGGATCTCTCTAAGTTATCTCCAAAATTTGAACTTTCTACGAATCTTACTAATCTTAGTGACGTACAGTGTTCCCAACCTCTCAGATTAATAATTCCCTTGATGGATCCCAAAAATTCCCTATTTTATATATTTTAGAGTTAAAATTCCCTGCTTTCAATGTTGCCAATAGGCCTTTTCGGAAACACTGATCTGATTGACCGGTTCACCAGCTGATGTACTTTGTCTTTTTTCAATCGTGTTCATTAAAGAAAGATAAAAAACAAACAGTTGGTGATCGGCTTAGTCGGATCAGTGTTTCCGAAAAAGCCTTACGAGTACATCTAAGTAAATTGCCAAATGACTTTACTTATATCAAAACCAAAAATATCTTCTTTCTATTGTATATGTAATAAAACAAAAAATTGAGTCGTTTGTCGTTTGGATGATTAAACGGATTACAAACAAATTGCAAAAATTAGGAATCGGCACTAAAATAAATACAACCGGGAACCCCCGAAACCGAACCTTGCTGCGTTCGGCTATGTCACTCCGCGCGCTCCGCGTAACTCCGTACCCACTCCAGGCGTTCGAGTATTGCTTTTCGGCGTAGGTAGAGTGACATCGCTTACTCCACTCCAAATCCGTGCTGAACACAACTTCTATCTTCATCGATGCCAAACTTCTATTTCTCAAAAATTCCCTCATTTCGACAATTTTATAAAAAAAAATCCCTTTTCCCTTTTGGGTGCCAAAATTCCCTAAAAAGGGAAAATTCCCTGCAGTTGGGAACACTGGTGACGTAGTGATACAAATTTAACCAGAGCTATGTTTTGAAGAAAAAATAAAGAAACTAATTAATAGGTCAAAAATAACTAGAGGTAGGTATAGGACAATATCTTACAAAAATAATCAGGAAGTAATAGTGGAGCGAAAGATGCAATAATATACAAGGTGTCTCGTTTGAAATATCAAACCCTACAGGGTGACACAAGGAATAGGGAACAATCTATAACTTTTTTAATATATAAGTTGAAATTTGGGAAACTTAAACGAGGCAACTTTTTGAGTTTTTTAGAAGTAAATTGCGTTACCAGTCACTTCCGGTTACACCGGAAGTGACCATAACTTTCAATTTTCAAATGGGACTCCCGGTATTTTCTGAGTTTTCTGGAATCAACAGATCATTTCACGTATGATAGGACCATTTTTGAAAGATTTTTAACAAAACCAAAATAAAAATTGCATTTAAAAATAAAGATTTTTCAAAAGTTGTTGGGTTATTTCTCAGCGGATTTTAAAATTGTTGATATGTATCAAAAAATAGGGAAAAAAATCTAGTTTCAAAAAATTGATAGGTTCCCGGCGTGGTTATATTTGAAAAATATGGAATACTTTGAAAACACCTCTCTGTTTAATTTTTATCCGAAATTATGCCGTTCAGTTAGGAAAAAATTGAAGTTACAGATTTTCCTCATATTCAGAATATCCAAATAAATCAATTTATACCATGTATTTTTTTTTGTTAAAAATTTTCCAAAAATGATCATACCTTAAATGATCTGCTGATGCCAGAAAACTTAGAAAATACCGGGTATCCTATTTGAAAATCAAAAATTAGGACCACTTCCAGTTAAACCGAAAGTGACTGGTAACGCAATTTACTTCTAAAAAACTCAAAAAGTTGCCTCGTTTAAGCTCCCCAAATTTCTAATTTTCAACTTATTAAAAAAAATATAGGCTATTCCCTATTCCTTGTGTCACCTTGTATATTACTTTCTGGTACAAGCGGCAACGTCGCATCGTTGAAATTATTTTGGAAAGATAGATCATAAGCAGTTATTACTTGGGCATGCACATTTTCAAAAACTTCCAACATTCCGTTTTCTTTAAGCGTCTACCTACCATCAATCACCCTGTATAGCACTTTCCTCTGTCCTCTGTTGAATTTGTTTATGCTCAGGGTCTAGTTCTATTTTATTATTGTATCTTCTTCAGTCATGATTTTTCATAACAACCTTTCCATCAGTGGTAGGTTTCCATCCGTCTAAAAACCGTTATTTTTAGTTTTTTCTTCTCTAGTCTTTGAACTTCATATTCCTGCTGACCCAATTGGTTCCTAATCTTCTGCAAATAGTATTTATATATCCTTTTGATGGGAACAACTGTCTTTTTAGTTATAGGAACGGCATGATATTTTAAATTTTTTTTTGGGGATAAAATTTACTGAGAATGAGAATTGTCTCCTGGTATTCCATCACAGTGTTGCCAACTGCTATATTAGATTCCATTATTTGATGAGTCCTACTCTAAGGACGTTCCTTAACCAAAAGAAATAGATAAATCCGATCTCTCAAATATTTGTCGTTGGCTTGCAATAATCTTGAAGATTAATAAAAAAAATTAAATACATATATTATTTTTGACTTTTTCAGGGCATGAAACCAATTGCGCCAATGATGTCACCAATGACGCCGATGGGTTCAATGATTCCTATACAGCAACAACCCAATTCTACACAGCAACAGTTACTTTTCCATTGATAGTTTTGCTTTCATCACAGACCAAAATGTTACTAGATATTTTTTTATGTATATATTATTCGTTAATGTACAGTGAAATATTTTGTCTAAGTATCAATGGAAGGAAGGGTCATTGCATAAATATCTAATAAATCACTCACAGCTTCATATCATATTTTGTGATAAAAAATTCTTTTGATTTAGTAAGCTTGTACTGAATTGAATGTGTTTTTGTAATATAATGTGAAAATTATTTGAGATTGCAATACTTTTTAGACAAATTTTGAATACATAGAATGTGTACTGTTTTTAGTACATATCAAATCAAGCTTACCCATTAAAAAAAATGTGTTCACTTTCCAAACAAGAAGTGTCATAGTATACATATAGAAAATATACTTAATCCCTGAACCAATAAAAGAGTTTATGAAGATATATTATTATACTACTGATGTATGGGGAAAAAATTATCATTCTATAATAGTTATTATCTTTAAATAAATTATTGTTTTTCTGTTAATAGAAAGTCGTCTAGTAAGATATATGAAATGTTTGTTGTTCCCATTAGAAATATTTTGGCAAAAATTTGTAAAGAGATATCTTAGGACAATAATATTAATAATAATGGTCCATTGTTTTGCACTATTTTAGATACATTTTAATGTCTAAGTAAGGTATTTGTTATTGTAATGCTACAATGTCTTTTATTAGAATTAACATTCTTTTACAGTTCTCAAAGTACAGTAAATTCCTAATTATCCGAGATAATGTGAGCTAGTGAGTTTTCAAGTACCTACCTGCCAAAATTTGCATATTCTCTCTAGGTTAATGATAATTTCAATGGCTGTTTTTCTTTTTATTACAAATCACTTGGTTAATATGAGAATTCGATAACCGGGAGTATACTGTACCAATATAAATTAAGTAATAAGACCAAACAAACAAAAAAATAAAATATTTATTTTGCCATATTAAAATATTACATGTATTAAATTTTTTATCTGATATCTTTAGCAATGTATTTTTCTTTTGTGCTCATTGTCAGAGATGTGCTTGTGTCCATTTACATCCTTGAGATTTGTGTGTCTTTATTCTTAGATATTTACTCTTGTATTGATTATTAAAAATACACATTTTTTAGGATATCTGAAGCATTTTTATTATTAGTGTTGCTTTTTTCTGTATAGAGGAATTTGTTATTTAAGTGTATATTAATTATTAAATAAAATATTATAATTATTTCTTGATAGTGTTTTTTTTTTCAAGACACTATGTTTTGTCATCAGAATTACTTTTTCATGGGTTTAGTTGATATTAACTACATTGAATTAAAATCTACTGTGTGATGATTGACTGATGAATTCTGTAGTGAGCCGATCTCGGTTCAGTTTGATAGAAGTTCTGAGTTGAAAAGAGGCTTTGGAGACAAGAAAAACCACCTGTGTAAAATTATTGGCATCAATCGAAGTATCCTGTTGTTAAAAAAAAATATATAACTCATCTGTTTATAAAATTGCAATTAGTCCTTTTCAATTCCAGGATTGCATTTAGGTTGATTGGGAAAAATTGTAAAGATGTACAGGGTGTTTCCTCATATTTTGACCCTTACTTGAATGAATCAATGAATTAATTAATTTGGGGTTTTGCTACACTGCGACCTGCATAGATCTATTGTGTCCCGCTTCTTGGCGCTCCAGTTGATGGACTCTCGCTTAAAGCACCTCATCCAGCCTTAATGCTTTTATGAAAAAGTACTCTGGATGGTTCCATGGATGGAATTTCTTCCCGTCCCACGATGTAGCATCCGAAGCAGGCCATTCGTGTATTCCCGATCGCTTCGCATTCCGTTAGAAGGTGTTCAGGAGTTTCCTCCCCTTCCTCACAGAACCGGCAACTGTTCTCGTTTTCAATTTTAATTTTCTCAAGGTGCCCTCTTAACCGGAAGTGGCCTGTGAGGAATCCGGTGAGAATGCGGAGATTGTTTTTGCTTAGTGATGTGAGGCCTTTCGGTCTCCCTTGGTCAGGGTGCTCAAGAAACATCTTCGATTGCTTCAACCCTGGAAGTTGCTCCCAGAGATTGTTCCATTTGGTCCGCTCTTCCTTTCTGAAGGCTTCTTCATAGGTGTGTGTCCCAAAGCCGAACTCCAGAACAATTTTCCTTTTGTGGTGATTTATCGAACAATTGGAAACTTTGGAAACAAAAGTTTGAACTTTTTCTGTTGGCAAGTGGTAAAAATGAAAAAAAAAGACCCTGTGAAGATAGCTATCTTACTTAATTTATTGGGGGATGAAGGACTCAAAATATACAATACTTTCGAGTATCATCAGAGCGAAGATAAGCAAAAGCTTGCTACTATAATTGAGAAATTTGATAAACATTGTAGTCCAACTATCAATATTAAATTTTTTAGAAGGGAGCAACTCTCTGGTGAAACGATTGACCAGTTTATTACTGCACTTAGGCAGTTAGCTGGAACTTGCGAGTTTTGTGAAAAGGACGTTTTAATCCGTGATCGAATTGTTCTTGGTGTACAGGACTCACGTATACAAGAAAAACTTTTACAATATCCAAATCTTGAACTTAATGAGGCTATAAGCATTTTTACATCCATGGAAACAAGTGTGTTAACTCAAAAAGAAATTAGTAAAGATTCAGTTTCTGTGAATGTGATTAATAGACGTTTTAATCAAAATAATGGTAGTGGTTCAAGTTCAAGATATAATCGAGTACCTAACTATGCATGGTCCTAAACGTAGATTGAAACAATACAGTAGTCAAGCATCTGGGTTAGGGTATGATAACACAAATGATAACCGTAATCAACGTAGGGCGCGTTTGGGTTCACGCTCGGTGCACTCAGAGCTTGCACTTTTGTCTCTCTTCCGTTATTGAAGCTCCGACAACGCTTGTTTGTGTTTGGTTTGACATATTTTGAGCGCTCCGAGCGAGCTCGATAAACTCCGAGTTTGTGGAGTGGACAGCTGGAGCGTGCATGCGCAGATGATGAACAATCCTGAATTTTGAATTTAAACATTTAATTTGTTAGCTGGATAGATTCAGGTATTTTGTTTAAATGTTAACAATCAAAAAACTACTAAATTCTGCATAATTGTCTACTTTCAATTAAATTTTCTCGATAGTTTCATCACTGGTATTGTTGAACATATTTTTCATTTTTCGGGAACTTGGCAGCCTCAGAGTGTTTAGGTCCATTATTTAGGTACAAATGCGGAATTACAGACTCAGACTCCAAAAACTATAAAAAAAAAACAAACAATAATCAGCTGATCGCATCGCTCAGCCCAGCACTTTTGCACGAGTTTATTTGACTTAACACGGTGTACTCCCTGTGACGTCACGTTACTCCGTAACCGCTTTGCTCGCTCCGCCCAGCGTCAGCCCAAACACGCCCATAGAGGTAATTTTGGTTGTACAAACTGCGGTCAGCAACATGAGCCAGGTAAGTGCCCTGCTTTTTATCGAGTCTGCAGTTTTTGCAAGCAGACTGGACATTTTAGAAATTTTTGTAGAAAAAGACAGAAAATTCATGAAATTACTGAATATTTTCGGTGAGTTCGGCTATTCAGCGCGGAGTTGGAGTGGAGTGAACAGAGCTAATGAAGTCACCCCTAATACCGTAAAAAGCAATACCCGAACGGCTGGAGTGCGAATGGAGTCACTCCGAGTGCACGGAGTGAGCAAGCCGAACTCACCTTTTGATGAACTCAATTTTAATGACGACAGTGACTCTGATGATTATGATGGTGCATGTAGCACTGTAAAATCTGATTCTAATTTAATTGTGTAGACAATCACAACTTCAGATATTAATGCAATTGACTGGCTAGAAGTTTTGAACATTTCTGACGTGGACATTAAATTTAAAGTAGACTCAGGAAGCCAAGTCAATACGCTAAATATCTCGGACTTTAATCTATTAAAAATACCACATAAAAATCTTTCATCTGTTTCTTCGGTATTAATGTCTTACTCAGGGCATACAATCAATGTGATAGGTCAAATCCATCTGAAGTGTCATTTTAAAACATAAAATTTCACTTTTTTGTTCTATGTTTTGGATTCAGAAAAAACCTTGCTCTATTTTAGGGCTAAATGCAATACGTGCTATAGGAGTCATACCGAAAAAGTTTCAAAAAATGAGAGTATTGTATTGATTCTGTAAAAAATATAGGTGATAACAAATATTCTGACAAGGATAATAATCTTCCAAAAGTTTTAAAATATTATGAGCCTGTTTTTTCTGGTATCGGTAAGATAAATAAACAGTTCTCACTTACTTTGAGTGATGATGCTGTGCCACATGTGAGCGGGTCACGAAAAATACCAGTTGCTCTCAAGGACAAAGTAAAATCTAAACTTATGAAATGGTAAAAGAAAAGTTAATTGTACTGGTTACTGAGCCCACCGATTGGGTCCATCCATAGAGAAATATAATAAACCAAGGTAAGAGTACCTGATTGATAACATGAAAGTTTGTATAGCGCTGACGTCACAGCGACGGTGGCGTCAATAGTGGCAGCCGGAACAAATACTGAAATGGCGGGAATTTTGAAATTTGACTTGAGTTGATTGCACAAAAAACTTACTTATGTTGTTCCACATCTTTTTTTCTCAAATCCGAATGAGAAAAATGATGTGGTACTCCATAAAGTTTTGTGCCATTTTTTGATGTAGATTGAAAAAAAAAGGCAAAATAAACACTAAAATTGTACTAGAAAAAATATATATTATAGCTAGATAGGTCAAATACCTAAAGAGTTTACAAACACAGTTATTACATCCCTTATACATGCTTTAATGTATGTACAAGCTAAACTGGCCAAGGCCTGACATCTACATTTTATCTCTTCTGACTGAGGTCTCCTAAAAACAGTACAAAAATATGCCGTATATCACAAAACTAACATGTATACTTACTGGTTCAGTTTATCCTAGTTGTACATAATATTATAGGTACGCGATACCGACTGCCTTAATAAAAATAACAATTTCTTCTTCTTGTTCTTTAGATTTTGTGAGTTCGAGTCTTCTTAGACGACCGCCCAATCGGTTAAAAATGACAAATTTCAACACGGAAATGTCGTTATTTTAAGGTTACTTATTTGTTTTCTCGGTCACAGTTTCTATAGTTATGGATGCTTGATAGGTTTCTACAAAACAGCTAGGAAAGCTCTGTAACTCATACGGTGCCCTTGTCTTGTGAATTGGTATGACAGAGAAAGATGAAACAGAATCGAATGATCGGACTGATCTTTCGTTTGTCTCTAGCTTTCCAAAAATTCCGCAATGCGCTATGCGCAACCGGATGCGCAGTAATAGTATAACCTATTTCGGCTATACTTTTGAAGGTCTTTTTATTTGTATAGACTTTTAATATTGTCAATGTGACAACAGTCAGTTAATCATAGGCGCAACTAGGGGTGTCCTTGGGGGTGCTAAGCACCACTAAAACAGAAATTAGCACCCCTATTCGGCATCCCACCATAACACTACTTAATAATAATATAAAAAATAAGTAGGTACAACCAAATTAATTATTTTTTTCCACTTTTTGTTCTTACTATTACGTCATCGATGACGTCATAACTTGGAAACAACTGTCGTTGATTAATTCATACACATAATCTCAATGACATGTTTGTCCCCCTATCGAAAGTCACGTTATGTCATTGGTGACAAGCTGGCGCTTGTGTATTAAATAGATCTTTCAAACGCTGTGTTTGTCCCCCCAACGGAAATTAGGTTATGTGTGTCACGCCAGCTAGTGCCTAGAATGATGACGTAAGCACAAACCCTCGTGAAATTAACTTTTCTTACGCGCGTCATTTCCTTTCCATCAAATTCTACCAAAAAAAATGGTGCTATAGCACCCCTAAAATTTGGAGCCCAGTTGCGCCTATGCAGTTAATTTAATTTGTCAATTATCTGTTCAACATTTGTGAGAATATATTATAGTTTTAACCATTAGTGAAGTTCATGCTTTCTTATGTATGTCAAGCTCATACATAACATTGTCGAAGGCGCCAGCGATGTCTAGGAAAGCGCACAGTGCGACTTCTTTTTTTTTCCAAAAATTCTTGTATCATTCTCGTCAGTTGGAATAGAGGTGTCTCAGTGGATCTACCTGCTCTGTAAGCGTGCTGACTCGCGTTCAGCGGCCGCCTTTCCAATGCAGTGAATCTGATATAGCTATCTACTGCCTTCTCCATTGTCTTAAAAAGAAACGATGTGAGGCTTATTGGTCTGAAGGATCTGGGGTCTGTCCCATCCTTCTTGCCTACCTTCGGAATTAAAATGACTCTTGCCCTTCTCCATATTTGAGGTATATATCCCATTGCCATGCTGCTTCTGGTTATATCTACAAGGTGCGGCATGATCTCTGTTTTTCCTCTTTGTAGGAGTGCTGGAAAGATCTCGTCCACTCCTGGCGATTTCAGAGGTTCGAATGCGTTCAATGCCCATTCGAGCCGCTTATTGGTGAGTACTACTTTTGCTATTTCCCATTCCTCCCTTGTGGGGAGTCTGGGGTATGAACTTTCCTCACTTCTGTTTGTACGTTTGCTGCCTGGGAAGTGTTTGCTTAAAAGAAGGAGCGCACGCTCTTCTTCACCTTCCGTGTAGGGTACCATCTGGCTTCTTAAGAGCCATTGTCAAACACGCTCCCTCTTTCGCCATTGCCTTGTGTAGTCTAGCGGCTACTATGGAGGTGATGTTTTCACAGAAAGTCCTAAAGTTGTATTTATGCCTTTCTGATTTCTCTGTTGTATTCTGTGAGGGCCTCTGTGTACCGCCGCCACTCTCCGGTTCTCCTGGCGGTGTTGAATAAACACCGAGCCTGGGTCCGGAGGCGTGCCAGCTTTGCATTCCACCATGGGGCCACACTCGAGCGTTCTTTCGAAACCATGTGGCAGCTAAAGTCAAAGGCCTCTATTACTGCCTGGTTTACGAGCCCTACTTTCTCTTCCAGTTCTAGGTGATTTCCTATTCTTTTTGGGTTGATTGCTTTGAGATTTTCCTCCAGATTGACTCTGTATAATTCCCAGTTTGTTCTCCTAGGATTTCTCCTGAGTTTTGCTTTGGAGGTGCTTATTTGTAGGCTGAACTCAATGATCCTGTGATCAGACAGGGAGGGTTCAGCCGAGACCCTCCAGTTTTTCACGTAGTTCTTTATTTCAGAAATACCAAATGTAATGTCTAATACTTCCTCCCAGCCCTTGTTATAAAAGTGGGTGTATTCCCTTTATTGTAAATATCAAAGTTCATTTCAAGTAAGTATTCAAAAAGGTACTCCACCTCTGGTGTTGGTGTTTGAGCTTTCCCAGAAGATATGGTGTGCATTCGCGTCGCCTCCCACAAGGAGTGGGATGTTTTTCCCCCTACAGTGGTGCGCAAGCTCCTGCAGTTCCGCCGGGGGCGTGCGTGCCCCATCCCCAGCGAAGTATGCGGATGCAATGACAATGGTCCGTTGTCTGCCTTGGTGGTGGAAATTCACCATAATCGGCACTAGGTCCTTTGTCATGAATTCTGAAACACAAATATAATCAATATGCCTTTTAATTACTATGCAGGCTCTAGGCATTTCGTGCCTGTCGTCCCATATCACCTTTTAGCTTTTTGTTGTCAGTCCTTTTACCTGTCCCCTGTAAACCCATGGATCTTGGAGCAGCGCAAGATCCACACGCCCTTGCCCAACAGCCTCGCAATCACAGCAGAGGATCCTCTGGCGTGATGTAGGTTGACTTTGGCTACCCTGGTGGCTGTGTTGTCCATCAGGTTAGTTACTAGGACTGAGGTGAGGTGTCGTTGCCCTCACTTTGACGATCTCTGTCTCGTCCCTCAGTAACTCTTCCTCTTCTTCCGTGGGAAGCTCGTTCTCTGAGCCCTCAGCCCCGATGTTTTCTGGGTTGGGCTCGCTCACCATCGGCTCCAGTGCCTCTTTCCCTTTGGGGGAACTAGTATTCCCGGAGGTTGGGGTTGGCTCTTCCTGAGGGGATGGTGGATCTGTAGCTATACGGGGTGAAAAAAAACTTAAAATATGAAAGTTGTATGGTTTTATTGGTAGTATTTTGGCGCTTCTAAAACTTACAAACTTTATGTATAAGCGGACCAACCGAGAGCCGAGAGCTTTTCTACTTTACTTAAATTCTTGGTTTCACCGATCTCTTATCGAATGGCTTTTTATCTGACTGACTGAATTCTCTTCGTGAATCATGTTACAGTCTTTATCAGGACCTGGTTGGTTCTTATTCGATAACATTTAATGCTGATTTTGAGCTTTGTTTCAAATTATTGTCCTCTTGACGCCTATAGATCTATTATCATTTATTAAAATCGACCTAATTATTCGTGTTTCCTCAAAACGTTTTCGATATTCGTGAAATCTGATGCAGCTGGCCTAGATCGGTTTAGTGGCCTCCAACTACCTCGTCTTCTCATAAACTTTTGGGCTATCCTGGGTTTATTAGTTTATGTTTATTCTTTGAGCGCGTGACAATGTAATTGATTAATAAGTGACTTCTACAAGTTTATCGGAGTCGCAGATATTAATCGGATTTTAATTTAGCTTTCAGATTAATTTCCTCAATTGGCAAAATTTGAAAAAAGGACGAGCCAATTACTATTGAAGCAACAGTTTTATTTCAAAAATAATTTATTATTTAAAACTTTCTACAGATAAGCTACGTACGAAGCTGCATAAGCCGAGTAAGCCGGGTAAGCGCTGTAAGCTAGAGGAGCAGCTGCATAAGTCAATGGAGCGCTGTAAGCTGCAGTGTAAGTTACTGGGGCAGCTACAATTGGAGCACTGTACGCTGCGGCGATAATTCCTGGCTTGGCTTCTGGTTTCGGATCAGCTTTAGCTTCAGGATTGGCAAATGCGATAGCCAAAATTGCAGCGAAAACGAACTAAAAAGAAAAACATGTTATACAAAATAAAAATTTAAAAATCATGTTGCTTACTAGTTTGTACATTTTGAGAAATTGTGTTTGTCAAGTCTATTCATTAACTGATAATTTTTTTGGAGCTCTTTGGCTGTTTTATACTAAAGTCTAATCACCTTCAATTAATTTATTTGAGGTTGCGCGTGCGAACCTCATGTAAGGATTGGAATATTAAATCCAAAATGTTACCAATTGAAAGAGGAGGTCAAATTAGTCAGCAGAAACGAATCTCACATTATTTTCCACAGGTTGTTTTTACGCAAAAAAAATTGCAGATTGTTTGAAATATGATTAAATTTTCCATAAAACAAATCCCTTGTTCCTATGAATTTTGAGTTATCAAGCTTCAAACTTTAATATTTGGTTTGTATAGAATTTGAGTCCAAAACTTCATGGGCAAAATAACTCCATACCCGAGTCCATACCTATCCAACATCCAACTATAAGGGTCGGTTTCTCAATAGCGAGTCACCTCCGGGTTGGTTTTAACTCCAGAAACGTGTCCAGTTGCAATGTTTACCTTGGATAAAATTTTGATTCAATAATCGTTCTGGGTTTCTGTAACTCCTATGCGAAATAAGAAATGGCTTGTTTTCACCACAATTGCTCAAATGCAATTAAAGTTCGCATATAAAAGAAAAAAGTAGCTTTAAAAAATCTTTAAAAAAATGGACAGCTTTTAAAAAAAGTTCCGATATGTTTTTTTTTTTTTTTTTCAACCCAAGCCGGGGTGACCGGTACCTCCAAAATTTCAAATGGAAAGGGGAGTCGAGTGATACGTCATTTGATAACTATTTTTATAAGGAATATACCCTGGAAGTTTTAAGCTGCTACTGTTTACCCTGCCGAAATGGCAGCTTGTCCAAGTTAGGAAAAATGCTTTTTTGCAAGTATGGTTTTTACCTCATAATATCAAAACAACAGATTTTTTAAGAGTTTCTATCCACAGTAATAAAATAACATTGTTATTTAATTTGAGTATTGTCATTCAACATTCAACATTTTACTTAAAAGAGGTTCATGTTTATTCACTCAAAAAATCTGTTGTTATGTTATTATGAGGTAAAAAGCACACAATTTTGACAAGCCGCCATTTCGACAGGGTAAATAGTGGTAACTTAAAACTTTCGGGATATAATCCTAATAAAAATAGCTATCAAATGACATATAACTCGACCCCCCTTTCTATCTGAAATTTTGGGGGTGACCACTGATCTCAAGGGGTAACTGTCACCCCCGTTCGGGGGTTGACAGGTAGGGGGTGGAAATACCAATAAAATGTGTCCCCCAAAAAACAAAAATTGACGTGTCCGAGCGATTTTTGAATAAACACCTCACCTTACACCTGAGAAAACCTGGATGGGAAGTTTTTCGTGCCCTACCCTGTATAATATCCTTAACAGACCAGATCTTTCAAAATAAGTTACCTACTGAAAAATATCTCAAAAAAGTTATCAACCAAAATATCGAAGTTTAATAAAAACCAAAAAAATTTCATCATTATTACAGTAAGTACCTATTTAACATTCCGAGTGTAGTTTATTTATACACGTACAACCTTAGAACACCAAATTCCATTGAAGGTTTTTCAGCTGCATTTTACTATAAAACCGCTGAGGAGTTTTTTAAAAAACATTACTTAGTTCATCCGTTTATTGATATACAATAATTGACAAAAACAACATTCCAAAATGTACAAACTCGTAAGTATAGTTATTAAATTATGTATCTACTTTTTAATACATTTGTAATCGACTTAAATTTATACCTTTTGCATAAGTTTTAGAGTAAACTTGCTTCTTAAAAATTAGTAAAAGTTCAGGAAAAAATATATAAAATAACACGAATGAGGGCAACGAGGATAGGTTATAGAAAAAATACCCAACTTTTGAGAATAGTCAAAAAGAAACGTTGGCAAGTTTCTCTAAAAAGAATGCAGATACAAATATTTAAATAATAGGTATCTACAAAGTTTAAAACATTTTTTTTTTTCAGTTCGTATTTGCTGCTATCTTCGCTCTTGCCTGTGCTAATCCTACACCAGACGCAAAACCTGAAGCAAAGCCTGAAGCTAAGCCCACACTTATTGCTGCAGCCTACAGTGCCCCTCTTGTAGCTGCTCCTGTAGCTTATACTGCTGCCTACAGTGCTCCTTTGACCTACGCTGCTTCTCCTTACGCCTACAGTGCTTACCCAGCCTATGCAGCTTATTCTTCTCAATATGTAGCTGTTTTATAAAATAACAAAATCGTTTCAAAATAAAATTTTCGACAAAATACATTTTCAATTCTTATATAAGCAAAAATTGAAAGTGAGGCATTTACGGAGATACGTTGCTACCCAGAAGTTCCACCTCGTGACTATCAGTAGTCAGACTAGGTTTTGTCATATATTTTGTTTAGAAAAGCGCTCTCGTGCAATTTTACCTTGATGTTTTATATAGGTACCTTCATAGATATTAGCCTCATCATCAGTATTCTACACGACACTTTTTTTAATGATTACATCTATTTTGGACGTTTCGCCCGTTTCAAAAGCTTTCTGGAAATTTATGAAGACATGAACGAGTGATCTGTTGTATTCGATTTTTTTATTATCATTTTGATGCTCTGTAGATTATGCTTAGTCCCGAAACTAACACGAAATTCAATCTGCTCTACCCAGTTTATTTTTTATTCTTGAAAATAGTCTCGTGAACATCTCGTCACAGATCTCGTTCTATGTAATGAGTGACTATTAACAAGCTTATTGGACTTTAATTCTTGTTAGGACCACTTGTTTGATATACGGCTTGGTCAAAAGTGTTTCTATAAAGATTAGTTGATAGAATAAAAATTATAGCCTCAAACTCGAATGAAGCAATTACGGGCCGAGGGGAATGAATTAGAATTTGGACACAATTACCATATTACCATAAGTATATTAAGTAATAAAAAATCAATCGGAAAATTTCAAATTTCCAATTTCACAGTCTGGAAACTCGTGTAAAATTGCCCTTTCATTGCTCAAAAACACAACTTCCATAGCCAAACTCTAAGATCTTTTTTTCTTGGAAAAATTAACTCAAACTTGAAACATTGAAAAGCCATCTTTTCCCCAATTTCGAAATAGGTCTGATTCTTGATTCCAATGTCCAAAATGAAAAAAACTTACCAGGATTTTTACCATGACTTCATATAATTCTGGATTCCAGTCACAAATCTTGCAGATTTAAGCTTAAAACTCTCGATTATTAGTGCTGCCCTATAACAAAAAGTTTATAATTTTAATAAAGAAAGTTTTATTTTCAATAACTTACCTTGTTAAGTTTCAAAATTGTAATTTCAAGCCCAATTTCCACACCACCCTAGAGGTACGAGCTGTCGGCGCGTTTTTTTTTTTTCAAGTGCTTTCCCCGTTAGGCCTAATGCACTTTGAAATTACACTTGTACAGCCAAAACCGTCAACTATCCATTAATTCAACCTTCACTCGCCAGCTAGGAAGGCACCACTGCAAACACTCACAAATGAGGTCCAGGACAACTATGGCATTAGGCTCCCCAGGGGCTTCCCTGCTTTAAAGATTCAGTCGAATCATGAACTGTTTTTCGGGAATTGACACATTATGTAATTTCACCTGGAAGAGAAAAGTAATGAAAGTTTGGATCCATGCAGTCATGTCCATCATTGTCCAGTCGGTTGTGGCTACGTCTACCATTGTCAGTCATTTGTTTCAATGTCCACAAATCCTAGTCCCATGTCTAGAGTGGCTGTACAATGTCCAAAGTAATGATAAACTTAGCCTTTATTGATCCATTTGTATCATATCCATGACCAAAACCAGCTCATCACTTCATGGTTCAAAATTTGGAAAAGGGATGTCTGGAAAAACAACTTTATGTAAGTGAAAATTCAATGTTTTATATTAAAAATTACTTATTTATTCAGCTTCCAATATCCAACACCTAAAATACTAAAGCAATAATGTAGGTAGGTACAATAGAACCCCGGTTATCCAAAGTAACGTGGACCTCGGATAACTGAAAACTCGGATAATCCGAATGTACATATATGTATACCTATGAAGAGTGTAGGTAAATATTCGTAACTGGCCAGTTATAAACAGAAGTTATTTTCTGGGGTATCAGTCTAAGGGCTAAATAGGTCTCAGAACTTTTATACTATGTATGGTATATTCTAGAAACTCGGTTAATACGGAGTATAGACCTCGGATTTTTGGGTCTTTAGACTGGCTCGATTAATCCAGAGCTCGGATAATCGAGGTTAGGATTTTTACCAGAAATAATTAATAGCCTAATATTCTACTTGGGCTCAGAATGATTCTGGACTTTATTGGTTAACGGCTTACCTAAGAAATAGAAGTGACACAATTTTTATGGCTATCAAACGAAAATGCACTTTTATACAATTTAATTTTTTCTGGAAAACTACTAGAGGAAAAATTGTGAAATTTTCAGGAGAAAAAGAGGAAAGTTAGGAGATCATCGGACTAAAATTTCAAACTTTTTCAGTGAAAAATAATAAAATGGGAAATTGATAAATATGTACTTACCTTTGTCAAAAATCCGTCTAGAAGAAGATTCTTATTATAGACTCTTAGAGTCATAAGACAACTTCTGGATTCTGTTTGTTTACAGGGGGGCTCACCTGAAAGCAATAACACAGCGGCAGAAAAAATTGTTCATGTATATACAGGGTGATTAGCGTAGCCCGTGCATTGGATTGCAGAAGGATTACATACATCATCTCTATTAATCCACCTGCAATCTGGAAAAATTAATGCACAAAGCAAGAAAAAGTCATCAAAATTTCAACTCTCCACTCATTTCAGTTTTTGAGTGAAAAAATTGTTTGTAGAGTATTACTTTACAAAACATCATTATTTAAAAATAGTCATAACTCCATTAATAATAACTCAATACAATCCCTTTGAGTTTTTAGTATTTTTAATAATGAATCTTCAGGAAAAAGTCCTCAAAATTTCAACTCTACACTCACTTCAGTTTTTGAGTGAAAAAATTGTTTGTAGAGTATTACTTTACAAAACATCATTATTTTAGAAAAGTCATAACTCCATTAATAACTCAATTCAATCCCTTTGAGTTTTTAATATTTTTTACATTGAATCTTTGGGAAAAAGTCCTCAAAATTTCAACTCTACATTCATTTCAGTTTTTGAGTGAAAAAATTGTTTGTAGAGTATTACTTTACAAAACATCATTATTTTAAAAAAGTCATAACTTCATTAATAATAACTCAATTCAATCCCTTCGAGTTTTCACGTACGTCGGGCAGCTATGATTACGGTTAAGTGTAGGTCGAGCATGTACAGGGTGACAATTAGAAAAGCAGCAATCTGTTGGATTATGGATACAGACAGGTAAATTCGCCCCCAATGACCATGAGTTTCAAAAGGTCTACTTTAGCCGCTCAGGTATAGCAGATAAGATTCTATAAGTATAAAAACATTATCTTATTTCAATTTTTGTCCTATATCCTATTTCCAATATAACCCCTCCTGTTTTGGAGATGGGGCTTGCCCCCCCTAATGATTTTTCTAAAATGAGAAACACCCCTTTGAAGCCGTGACCATTTCATTTCAGCTACAATATACAATATGATCAATTGACTCTTCATCTAGAAAACACATAAACAATTTTGCCTGCGGCAAAGTTGAAGAGCATTCAGCTATTCTATTAAAGCCCCATTATATGCTGAATATTTACGTTGTGCAGCTGACACCCAACACCAAATTATAATTCAACCATTTCTCGCCGGTATTCGGTAGTGCCCCACTGCTACACTTACCGTATATAGTATATTCAATGCAACAAATGGGATCCTAACCTATTATGGTGGACGGCCTCCCCAGGGGACACCAATTACCAAAAAGACATGATCAAATCCTAATTTGTTGCTCTGGATAATCAGTGAAACGCAACTTCAATAATTGTTATTGAAAACATTTACAGCAAAATGTTTTCTTAATAAATAAATAAATAAATGAGATCTTCTCCATATAGTATTTTTTGTCTAAGTGTCAAATTGTCACCCTGTATGTCCGACGTGGCCTAGATGGAAACATCACTGTCGGGCAGTTTTTCCCGACGCGACATGCAAATGGTCTCTAAAAATTTCATTTATTCGACATGACTTCACAAAATCATCTATTACTCTGTTAATATTTCATATATTTCAATGTAAAAATAACTATTCTGAATCAGAATTTAATGCTTTTCAAGATGAAATAAGTTTCATTCCAATATTTGAAACAGTTCTGAGATATGAGCCTCCAAATTTGAAACTTTGAGTCAGACTTCCATAGAGCTCCTTTGATTCTACATCAAAATTATTTTTTCGAGTTTTTCAAATTTCTGACTTCACCAGTCGAAAAATAAGGTCAAATTTGGAAGAAAAATATTGTGACAACTCTATGTTAAAGGTTTCAAGGCTTGAAACAAATTGAAACATCACTTATTGGTCTCTAAAAATTTCATTTATTCGATATGATTTCACAAAATCATCTATTACTCGGTTTAATATTTCATATATTTCAATGTTACAATAACTATTCTGAATCAGAATTTGATGCTCTTCAAGATGAAACAAATTTTATTCCAATATTTGAAACGGTTCTGAAGATATGAGCCTCCAAAGTTGAAACTTTGAGTCAGATTTCCATAGAGTTCCTTTGGTCTTACATCAAAAATTATTTCTTCGAGTTTTTCAAATTTCTGACTTCACCAGCCAGAAAAAATAAGGTCAAATTTAGTAGAAAAACATTGTGACAACTCTATGTTAAAGGTTCCAAGGCTTAAAATATATTGAAAACACTTATTGATGTACGTTATTGACTGGCTTTCCAAAAGTGCACCCAACACCTCCATGAGTGTCTCAAAAAAATTGAATACTTTCAAATTGCCTGTTTGAAAAATACAGCTACATAACTGGATAGCTATACTATCTTTATAAAAGAGTATTATTGTGTAATGCACCTGTAGATTTCTAGCTGAAAATGTTTAGTGGACTTCCACTAGCAATTTACCCCAAGGTGTTAATATGGGTAAGTTGAGTTGGGTTAGTTGGGTTGTTGCTAGTGGTAGTGGCTTATTGAAATTTACAATAATTAAGACTTAAGACCCAAAAACATCTTTGGATAATTTCCAGTGACAGAATAGCTATGGATTTAAAGTGGCTTAAACAGCAAAATTGTGGACAAAAATCAATTTTTTTGGGACACTCCAGCATTTTATTACAACAGTATCTACATCCAGCATACAGCGTTCTGTTCCAACAATACCTACATACTACATAACCAGAACCCAGCATCTCACAACAGTGGATCATTCATCCTTCACACAAGCTCATCTATACTTTCTTCATTAACGCACTTTTGGAAAGCCAAATCAAAAAAAGAAAATTAATGATGAAAATAGATACTGGAAAACTAATTTTTGGACACCCTGTATATTTTACTAATTGCCAATAGTTATAGAGAATCAAATGAATTACAAATTAAATTAAAAAAAAAAAAAAATAAGTTGGATTGTTCGAAATTCAGACCTTCCTGAAAAATCAAGGGTTGTTTATTCAAGATTCAATAAATCCCAATTACCAAAAAATAATTGTTGGTACTACTTACCAAAATCCAGAAGTCAATTGGTACACTATGGGCACACGACACAATAATCTAAAGCTTGTGTAGAAAAAAAAATCGATAATTCTCGGACGCAACTGACGGTGCATCTCCCGCGATTTATACTCGACTAAATCCGAATAAATTTAAATCCCTTTGTCCGACAAAAACCCCCACAAAAAAAGGTAAACAGATAACGTAATAAATAGGTATGAATAAGTTAGAAGCAAAAAAAAATTACTAAGTGATAGAATACAGGGTGGGCCAATGAAAACTTTCCACCCCGATTTTTTGGACTTGAAATGAAAATCTGGAAAAAAGCTCAGACACGTCAGTTTTTTATTTGAGGGGAACCCATTTTTTAGTTTTTATCACTCCTGTAGCTTCAACCCCCCAAATTTGAATAGGGGGTAGGGGTCGTGTCATACCTCTTTTTAAAGGTCTATGACCCTAGAATTTCGTCTCATTATTTTTATTCATAACTGTTTCGTCCACTCAATAGTTTTAAGTTATTTGTATTAAATTGCTAAAATTGTCCTTCATTGAATTATTTTTTTTTTGTTTATTTTGCCAATAATTATTTATTGAAGTAGAATTTGGAGTAAACTTTTAATCCACGATTCACCCTTCAGATTATTTTCGCGTTCTTGAATATTTGAGGTCTTTATCTACTTAACGCATTGCCCTCATATATGCGTGGAAGAATCCTACGACAATTCGACGTGACGACGCGTTGGAAATTAAAAACCAGTACATTTACGCGATTAGAAGCCCTCCGTTCTCGACCAATTTTGCTCGCACTCAATCATACTGCAAATAACTTGCGGGCCGGCCATCGTGGTATTCGCGATCCGTGATCGATCAAGTTCAACCGCAACTCCACAACTCGCCGCTGTAAACTGGATTAGGTAAGATCTCAATTGTACTCGTAATTTTGAAACCGCAAAATACAGTCCACTTTTCTCACAGCTGATGCTCAGCTATAGACTAGATTTTCCCAACGAGAGGTAATTGCACTGGACAACGATAAGGCTGAAGATACCCAGAGGGGCGTTCCCAACGAGAGGTACTTGCACTGGGGAGACTTAATTCCAGAGGGGCTTTTCCAACGAGAGGTACTTGCACTGGTTAAAGTCTGCCTTTGCTGCGGCTTGCAACGCAATATATATCAATTTATTGCTGAATTGCAATAAACATCCGATCGAATCGGCAATTAAATTAATAAGGTTTAATACCGGGTCCTCCTTTCCTAAGCAGCTAGTTGACAATATGGAATAATAGAAGGAAGTGTTGAAAGAGTCCTGGCGTGTTCCGTTCCAGGTATTCATTACAAACCGTGGAGACCTTCAGAGTGCATATACCACCTAACCACCAGAGATACCGATACGAGAAAAAGATGGCAATTTATATCAATTTCGACGAATTCCTTTTGCATTCACTAATGGAGTTGCCTGCTTTTAAAGAATAATAATTCATAGTAGATATATTATTAAATCTATGAAAATTTATGAGGCGTATACGCTTATCACCGTCCCAACATGATGACTAACAAATTATGCAAGTTGTAAAGGAATAAAAAACAATTTTATAATCAAAGGCAAAGTTCAGTATTACAGAAATCTATCAAATTTTTTGGATATTTTATCGAAAATTAAACTCCAAAACCAAATCTTGAAACACTTGAACCTTTAATAAAACTTCTATTGCCTCAAAACTCCCAATCGCTAAGCAAAAAGAGCTACCTACTGGTATCTTTGCTCACCATTCCAAATCAGTTCTTTGTTTTTCGGAGAAAATCCATCGATTAGTTGCCAGCAAAACTTTTCCACTGTCTGATCCGGTAACACAAGCCTTTGAAATCCTCAAAAATAAAATCGCATCATCTGCTGTAAATTCTGTTGATAATAAAACATTCAACAACTATTCCATTGGAGCTTTACTGTCGAGAAGGAATACCTGTTGCATTTTTTTTTTCAAGACCATTAACAAATAGGTTGTGAAAGAAATCATTCATCTGTCGAGAAAAAGACTTATGTCATAGTTAAAGCGTTTAGAAATAGCGACATTTTCTAACTGTACCGAGTTTGTTTTTGTCGTCTTTTTCGTCGATTTGCTCCGAAATTTTGACAGGCACGTGATTTATAAACTGAACTGTCTCATCCAGTCACGTGCCTGTCAAAATTTCGGAGCAAATCGACGAAAAAGATGACAAAAACGAACTCGGCCCTGGTAACACCTTTCACCTCGTGATACACCAAAAATCAACATCATTTTATGTTTACCATGCATGCACATGGCACATTAGTAAAATAAAGAATTCATTGATGGCGCCTAGAATTATCTTGTTAGAGTTTTGATATAGGTACAGTATCGACCAGGATCTGATCTGACATCTAATGTTTCAACTGATACTTTTTCACGACTTTGTGGCTCAACCTGTACGGATTTATCTTTATTTATTCTACATCAAGCATTGTGCCATCTTAGAATTACTCAAATAATAATTTCGTAATTTTCAATTCACCCTACTTGATGGAAGAGGTACCTACATATACGTGATAATAATATAATAACTTATTGTTCAATATATGTTCAGAATTGTTATCTTAATTTGATTTCGAGATTGAGAGTGAACATTTTTTTGATCAATGTTTTCAATCAGAAAACTCCGCGGTAGGTGCCTATACTTCTGATACCTATCTAGTCAAATAACAGAAGGAAGAGAACCTGCGCTGTATTTGAATGATTACGAAGTAAACCTAAAAAAAATCAGATTCGTAATTTATTATGGTAATTAAAATTGTTTATTTTTGAATGGACAATAGACAAGCCAGGCAAAACAATACGCGCACACATTTTGTAGAACTTGCCCCTAGACTATAATCGGGAAACCCTAAAATGTACGGTGCGCACTTTTCATAATATCGATCCCTATTGCCGAGGAATGCAGGAAAATTTCCCTGCAACCAATGATTCAGCAGCAAATATTCGTATCTCCCTTTCTGTATGCAAGATAGAAAAAGATAGCCCAGTTTTTCCTATATTAGATTTTCCACTGATGCTAGAAATCTTATCAGCTGTTTTCTTTTAATCATGCCAAGTCACCATTTATTACATTTTCCTATCCAGTAGTGATTTCTTTTTCAAAATAATTCAAACAAGTCGGAAGTTTTGTGATGACACAGTAAATGTTTTTGTTTTAGTGATGTTTAAGGATGACGGACTATAAACTAGCAGCAAAAATGTTAAAAAGAAAAAACTTTACGGGTTTCCTTACCCATTTAGCAATTTCGTCCATACTCCTATCAAAAACAGCACTCGGCACCGGTTCTCAATTGAACCTATCAACTTTACCCCATGAAAAATTATTACCAACAGATTTTTCCACAAATCCACTTTTAAGGACAAAAAGGGCTGAAATCGACATACAAACGTGCATTGAGAATTTTAATGTGCACAGAGACAAAATAATCAGGACACAAGATTCCCAAAATATGGGGGCAAAATATCTAAACGAAATCGATTTGGGCAGTCGAGAAGAATGTTTGAGATTATGTTGTGAAACGGAAAATTGTGATGTTTTTGTGTTCGAGGAAAAGGTGAGAATTAGGACCATTTATTTAGAACCGCAAATTATTTTTGAATTGCAGAATTCAGGTAGCTGTTATCTTTTCCACTGCGGCCCACCAGAAGACTTCAAGTGTAAATTTACCCATCATGTGAATTATTCAAGTGCCGTTTTGTCCATTAATCGACGCTTGCCCGATTTGGAAAGTCAAATTAAGCTTACCAAACATGTGCAGGATTTAACTAAATTAAGGTAATTGGGGTTTATTTAACAGCGCACAGAAAGTAATAATGGATACATTTATAGTCACATTTGTGATCAATATGTTATTATCTTGTGCCAATCCAAACTTGTATTGATATCTATAAATTAATTATCCATTGATTTATTGCTAAATCAAAAGACAGAAATTAAGTAAAATGATGTAGGTAACTAATTCATTTTATTCCGATTGTGGATCTTCCACTAGCGTTTCATAGTTTTTTCAGTAGAGGTTTTCCATTTTCTGAAAATCTGCAGCTATTTCTGAACAATTTAATTCAACCTCATTAAATTGGAAATTAAGTAGGTCCCATTTTGAACGATGTTTTCCTTGAAAGATACATACAGATCGTTTCACGAGGGTTCATACTTTTAATATCGAACCCGTCATAACTTGAAAAAAAAGGGTTGTCGTAGATTAATTCATGTGACACATTCAATTTTTTTGACAAATTAAAATAAATTACTTCTGGCTTAAGAACCGACGATTGTTTTTGATGTCATTGATTTGTTTCAGTCAATTTCTATTTGTTAATAAAGGAAGGCAAAAAGTATGAACCCTCATAAAACAAAGTTTTAGTGCCGGTACTTTTGCTCTCATTTGACTGCCGTTAAAAATAATCAGGGCTTTGAATGTGCTCTAACCACATCATACTTATACAGACCTTGGCCCATGCAAAACTTTGACAACGTATCAAATTCGTTAATCGAGAGCAAAAGTATCGGCCCTAGGTATATCATTTATATTCATTAAAATAAAAAAAAGTTATTAGAAACATAGGCAGTGGCGTAACTACAGGGGGGCCTGGGGGGGCCGGGCCCCCCCCAGACGTCGCTAGGCCCCCCCAGAAAAAACTTTAATAATTTGGTATTTTATGAAAGCTACGTTACCTATTATAATTTTATGTTATTAGCTACTAAATTTGAACGGTAATGCGCGGCGATCCTGATCGACCCTATCCGATCCTCCGATCCACCAACGAACGGGCTGTGTGCAATAGGGTACTTGCATGAAAAATTAAATTGAATATTGTTTATTGCAAACTGTAGGAAATCGAAAAAAAATCGATGCTTGTTTTTCTATTTTGTCCAAATATGATTATTTCGGAAGTTATAACAAATATTGAGTTTTATATATATAGATATACTGAGCATGTGCGACGTCACAACTCACAAGGTATTATACCTAAGTTATGACGTCGGAAGGACATTTCAAAGCGTTGTATCTCTGTCAATTTTTGACCGACTAGAAAAAGAAAAAACACGTGTTGACTTATTTTTCATGGACTATCGTAATCAGCAATAAAAAAAAATTATGCAAGGAGCCTATTGTGCCACCCAAAGGTCAGTGCAAATTGCAATGTGCAGAAGTGATACAGTATACCAAAGCCATTAAATTAGCATTAGCAATATAACAGATTAGTTTGGGAGTTTGACAAAATATTTTTCCTGTGAATCCGTGAATCCGGTGTCGCTGATATATACTTTACAGTGGCTGATAAGCTGGGTTAGCTAGGCAGTGTTGCCAACTCGGTAGAATATCCACTAGTTCTAGTGGATTTAAAAGTCGTCTAGTGGAATTGTTTTAGCAAATTCCACTATAGTGAGATCCACGGTTTCTAGTGAATTTTTAGCTGAATAATTTTCAGTGATATTTCGCTTCCATTAGTTTGCGATACTTGTTTTTAAAATTTTGAAATAACGTATTTCTATAGGATTCCTGTTAATTTACAGAAGGCAGCATATTTTTCAAGGATGATACACACCTACAGGATTGCTTATCGGCATCGTTTTTGGTAATCGCCGCCATATTGGTGTGTCACCAATTCCGACGTCATAATTAAGTCGTCAGCTGTTTAAACAGCCTTCGTCAAGATGAGAAATAACCTGGTGCCTACATCAAAACTGGTGATTTGGCGAGGGAGGGATTTTTTACACAACACACAGACCTTATGAGGATAGGCCAGCCAGTAGTAGTAGTATCCTAGCGTGTATCATCCTTGACATATTTTTTTTGTGGGCTTTTCATATTGTAGGTATGTCAATATTGTCAATAATGCTTTCAGTTCAACTGTCAACATTGTCACTTTCAAAATTCAAGTCAAGTAAACCCGGCGTTCATCAGGGATGTTCCAACGTGCACAATTGTGCATATTATGCACAATCTGATCTCAATATGCACCATATGCACAATCTTCAAAAAATATGCACAATTTTCACAATCCAGCCAAAACAAAAAATTATTTTCTTTCAGCAACCCTTTGGCCTTTGGCAACCTCGCCTTGCGCCTTGGTTGTAGTTACTGAAAGCTAAGCTCTAGACTTATGTAACTGGCAAAAGAGAAGAATGAAGACTGTAGACGGAAACCTACAACCTACCTAACAACTAACAACTCCGTACACACCACTACTACAGAGATAGGCTATCCTCATAAGGCCTGTATAGATCAAATGTCAAACCCCCTTTCACCGATTTGTCGCAACCTATCGTCCCGACTATCCCATTGCCTTTCTACGGGTGAGTCGGGACGCTAGGTTGCGACTAGAGGATGAGAATCCTCCCTCAGTGTCATCACCTGTTGGTAAAAAGGTAGTTTTCTACACAAAAAAAATTGAAAGCATTGACAATTTTACATTGTATTGCCAACATAATGTCATTTTGACTTTTATCTTAAAAAAAAAACAGACTTTATCCATTCCATTTTTTGACGACAACTTGTAGGACATTCTACCCCTGCTTTTCGTAAAACCCAAATGATGGAGCTATTAATTACGTAATTCACGTCACATTTAAGCATATGCACAATTTTTCATTGGTTGGATGCACACTTGAAAATTCTCCTGGAACAACCCTGGCGTTCATGCTTCTATAAACACAGTGACGCTTTAACCTTTCTCTGGCCCGTAGGTCAATTATTTGGTATGGCCTTTCATGGAGTGATTGTTCTGTTTTATGGGGTTAAATAAAATCATTTAGGGCCGGTTTATCAATCAAGGGATAACTCGCAGAGTTTGCTGGCCCTGGGCTAACTCTAACTCTGGGCTAACCTAACTACCTACTCAATTCGAAAAGTGTTTATCCAAGCTTTTTCAACCCAGGGCTTGTAAACTCTCGGGTTCTTTGAAGGTTGGCATTACTTATGCAACGTTCCCGGTCACTTTTGTCGATTTGTCGACATTTTCTGCTCATAAATTTACTTTTTTATGGTATTTTTTGTCTCCGTAACGAAAATTTCGGTATCGTGTACTTACCTATTCTGTGTGGAAATATGTTGTCTTGTTTTAAAGAGAAGAAAATGTCTGAGAGAAAAAACCAGAAGCATAGGTACTTACGTGGTACCTGTCTGTTAGGAATTCGAGTCTATGCTCGATTTTTGATTTGTTCTAGAACAAGTAAGATTGTTTCTTTTCGTGAGCGAAAACTCGCCGACGTCATCAAAATTGTCAAAGAGATTAGGGATTTGACTTCAACCTCACGTGGTAGGGGCGTCGCTCATGTTTTAGAAATTCTAGAATATCTCGATTACAAAATTTAAGTCAAAACCACAACATTCAAAAAAATGCAGACAAAAAATAACAGAAAATGTTGAGGTTAACCCAGGGTCAAATACGCTAACTTGCCGTGAGAGCGCGGTTTAACTTTTTCTTGGAAAAACTTCCGAGTTAGCAATTGACCCTGGATAGATGAACACTTGTCACAACCTTGACCCAGGGATATCCCTAACTAATGGGGTAACTCTCTATTGATAAACAGGCCCTCAGACGATTTCAAACTACTAAAAAAACCACTAAAATATTTCATAGTTTTTATTATACACCATGACCAAAAAAATAACACTATATTCCAGGACTAGACGAACAGAATCATATGCGATTCTCAAAGATTTTAGTTAACACGTAGAAATTCGTAAAGTTGTAAATCACACGATCACATTTCACACCATAAATAGATCCACGAACAAACAACAAACGGCTTAGCGCTTAGCGCAAACACTAACAAGTTCCTGCTGTAGTTGTTGCCACGTGCCTGTGCTGCGCTAATGACGCGACGGCGAGTCAGCGCAGCTCAGTGACTTTAGGGTGTGTTCCCGATTGATGCTCGATGGAGCGAGCGGAGCAATTTCAGAGCATCGTGACGTCAGGCAGTGCACTCTGGCCAAACCAAATGTGCTTGTGCAGTGTGAATTTTAAGAATTAAAGAGTATTGAAATATGTGCTAGTCCTGCTACTAAACAAGTCGATGTTTTTAATATAGTGGGCTTTTATATTTTATATTATAAATTAAAGGCCAGCAGTTGGCCTCTCATCCTCTGTGGCCCGAAGGAAATTACCTAATTGTCCTAACGGATAAAGTGTCCCTGTATAAACATACTGCTGTAACATAATCTATAAGGGCCGGTTTCTCAATAGCAGGTCAGCCCCGGGTTAAGGATAACTCCAGGGTAAAATTAGCAACTGGACACGCTCACCCTGATGGAGTTAAAATTAAATCGGAGGTTACTTGCTTTTGAGAAACCGGCCCTATTAAGGAGAAACAAAGAGAAGAAACTAACACAACATGGTAGATGATACAAAAATTTCAAAAAAGAGTGGGACAAATTTAGTAGATTTTCCACTGGTTTAAAAAATTTTCGCCTGCGGCGCCATTTTTTTTCTCCTAGTGGATTTAAATCTCTTTTCTAGTGGACAGTCTTGATTCAGAGTTGGCAACACTGTAGCTAGGTAAGTGACTTAAGCCCGGTTTATTCAGCTAATCGCCTATAATTGCACTGTTCTACTTTTTTAAAGATTCCAATAAGTCGCAATAACAGGCTCTAGGCCACTGGCTCCAACTACAACGCGGCATTGGGCAGGTGTTCCCATGAGCAACCTCTCATGGGTGCTCGGAGCTCTCGTAGGGAATGCGAAAGTACAAACGTATTTAATGATCATTCCGTTCCGTGTGGTAATAGTATCAGTATCACGTATGTAATTTAAATTTACACAACTTTG